CCGTGCTGGCTGGGCTCACTATAAACCGCATGTACTGAGTCCGGACCAGCACTGGCAACAGGCACCGAAGAGGCTAGAAAACCTTAAGGCCATTGACCCATGGCTTTGATGGATTTGAATGGATATTGGGTCAACAGGTGTGATGGGGGTGTGATGTCGAGCCATCAGGTTCCAGCTCGCCGGGCACCCTCCCAAGGACTAGTCTCCCAATGGTCAAAGGCAGAGAGCCACTGCAAGGAACAAACGACCACAACCAGGGGAGGCGCCCTTTTTACAACCAGTCGGATGGCGATGCCGCCCCTGAGAGACTGAAAGATGGCGCAAAGGGAATAGCGGGGGGCGACCCTCTTGTGACTCGCGTCTCTCTCGGTTTCTTTCTCCTTCTCGATGTGATGGGAATCGAAAAGGAGGGTATTATTGATGTCGGGTTTTTTTCTCTTGTCGACCTTTTCCCCTCTTTGATGTGAAGGATCCATTTTATTCGACTCTAGACCCTTTTCTTTTTTGCCTCATGTCTACCAGCTTGTTCCATAGGTTTCTGGCGCCCGAGTCTCCCGAGCTCTTGCCGCGCGCTCTCCGTCATGCTTCAAGCTCTCCACCTGAGAAAAAGAGACGGAGGGGTGGGGGAGTGAAGATGGCCGGGCGATCGGCAACTTGATGGGCATCACCAAGCCACTCGATAAAATACTGCAAACCCAAAAGCAAACATTTACCGATAAACAATTCAATATGGGTTCAAATTGTCGCCCTGCTTTGGACTCGCTGACCGGCATTGCCCTGCAACATTCTCTTCACCCATTTTCATGTTCCTTTTGCCTCCCCTTCTGCGTCGCTGTCGGCCCAAAGGGGGTATGGCATAGATGTCTTCTTATCTGATGTGCTGTCTCAAACCCCGCACACTCCAAGCCGGCCGACCACCTGTTGCATCAACAGATTCATCTCAATTTAGCCACCACCGGTCAAATCCCTTGAACCCGGGCTTCCACGCTGCTGGTTGAAACAACTCTGTTTTTCTTGGGGGAGTGGGTAAACTGTCATCCTATGTTTCCGTCTCCTCCGTATGCCCGCCCATATTCGTACGTTCTCGCTGTATCAGAAGTTTTTCAATTGAGCCTCTGTTGATACTTCTAATGTGCTGCCTGCACTGGTTTATCGTCTCCCTAATACCCCGCGGGAACCGGCGGCGGTAGAGGACGGGCATTTATGGCGGCGGAAAGCGAACAGTTTGATCTTGTTTGCCGCCCACGATGTGCTTGTGACATCGAATTGGCTCACCGTCTTTTCGCCCATCGTAGCTTGTTTGTGATTTTTCTCTTCTTCTGCTTGGTTAGCCTTGACCAGTCTCTCATTTTTTTGTTCGTTTTGTTTTTCCCCTGCCTCTAAGCGCACACAAACCTGTCAAGTCAACCGATGGTTGGCCGACACGTGGATCGCGCGCAAGATCGGGGGTCGGGAGAGACGGCCTCGCTTCGCTTATGCGACCGCATTTCAGGGCCTTGGGACGCCCAAGTAACAGAAAAAGAGACCCAAGACAGAAAAACACGGAAACAGTGACCCCAGGCAATGACAGAAACATTGACTGGCCATGTTCCCAAGGACCCCAAAGTCTTGTGACCAGCGCCAGATGTTTGGAGCGTGACCTGCCAGGCGGCCATTTTCCGATCGAAAATAGCAGCGTAGCGTGCGGTCCAGATGAAGGCCGAGTATTATTACCAAATGCTCCGTGGTTGACGGAGGCCGAACCAGGGCCGCCCCCATGATTTCTTGACCCTAATACCTAATAGTTTGTTTCCTTTTCCAAGGTTCAACGTTGTGTTGCTTTCCTTGAGCGGTTCGCCCAGCCGGAGTCCCAAATTGCGACCTGCGAAATCAACATGGACCAGGGGGTATGTATTCTCGCAAATATTCCCCGTCCCCCGAATGCGCGGGCCATTATCATCGTTGCACTGGGCGAGGATGAAAGATTGGCAAATTCAAGAGATATAAAAATAAAAATAAAAAGTCTTGGCGTGCCCGTGGGTATTCCAGCGCTCTCGGTAAGATTGGTGTTACCGTCTCCCTCGTGCCTGGTGTCCGTTTATTAGCGACCTCATATCGGCCGACATGGTTCGGCTCTCGCACTGCTGCAACCTGGTCTTGGTCCCTTGGAGAGCAATATATCAAAAATATCCGCCGAGTGCCAGCGCAACCTTGGAGTGGGGAGACGAGGTTCTGACTCTTTTCCGCATTTCTGCAGGTCCTACTCTTATCCCGCGCCCGCCATTCTTTAATTGCTCGCGTATCTCCAAAGGGCGTTTCTCCATATATCCTTTTTTGTAAGAAGGGTTCTCCTCATCCCAACTTTCGACAAAGTGGCTGGCTCGGTGCTTCATGGTTTTTTTCCTTCTTTTTTTCCGCCTCGTTTTTCTCGTGCTAGGTCCGGCTGCCTTTGCGTGCTTCCCACTACTTTCCTTTCATCCATGGACAAAAGAACATCGTGAGTTGTTAATTTACACTAGTTTTGGGGCTCTCCTCCAATTGCATCCCCAGAACGTCGGCCCGCTGGTGTCCGCAATCTAAATATTTGACCATGGGCTTGCCACCCCCGATAGAGCTTTCATTTCGGGGCCGGGCTGGAAAGGATAGACTTCTCCGCTCTCGTTTCTTTTTCTCCCCTTGGACCCTCTTCTCTCTTTCTCTCTTTCTGTCTCTGTGCTCGCTTCTGGAGTCAAGGGTCCATCTCCATCTTGACGGACCGTGGGTCTAGCACGACCTAGTCACATTAGCTCGTTCGTCGACTGAGTCCCGTTTTCTGGATCCTGGCCCACGAGACTGAGATGGCGGCGGACTTGTTCCAAGCTCCATAGTGAGAGGGTTTCGGCAGACGCTGTCGTGCTCCTTTCATCCCCCCTCCACCCATCTCCACTACTGCCCCGGTTGTCTTGGGTTCGGTTCGAGCCAGGTAGCAAAAAGGAACGCAGCCAAACGAGGCTAAATAAAACTTGGACTTGATGGCGAGAGGACGGAAAGAAAGCCGAGATAGGAGAGCGATGTAAGAGCAGCCATAATTAGAGAGAGGAAATAGGAGCCACCATGTTCTGTCCTGAGACCAATAGTTTTGTGGATGCGCGTGATAAACTTGGTTTGTGGATCGTGGAAGGCCAAGAAGCGGGAGCGATCAGATCCATCCAGAAACGATAGGAAATCTTAATATTGTTTCCAAGAAGCTAAGAATAAGATCAAATAATGAAAGAGGAAATCCCACACCCCGCCATCAAATTAGAGCCTCATGCCTCTAATATGATCGGGTGGAGCGTGCTTGCGCGAAAATATGGGAGGCTAAGAAAAAAAGAAAAGAAAAAGGAAGGAATATGAGAATGGATCCATCCTTGCATGAATGATCTGCCTCCACAGCCACTGTCAAATTCAACCGACGAAAAAGAAAAAGAAAAAGAAAAGAAAAAAAAGAAGAGGAAGAAAAAGAACAGAGGGTGCTAACTTTCACCTGACGCTGAACAAGGGGCTCACAGCACCAAGCAAGCCGTCATTGTCACAGCTGTATGTGCGCAGTCGATCATCGTCAGGGCCAGGGGCTTCGCTGGACACACAGTCGTGGCTGTCCAAAGCCGAGATGAAAGGGAGCCCGGGGCCGCACGGACCCGGACCGGGTTCGTGGGCACAACAGAGCAACGGTCTGACGGGGGTGACAGAACGGGCAGCTGGCTGTGCGGAATGTGACGACACTAATTGTTCAAAAGTGGACGAACCCACTCGAGATCTACGCACCATTGTTACATACTCGCATGCTGGCACTAGTGTCGTTGGTTCTGACGGGGGAGAGGGAAATGCCTCCATTTCGTGGGGTCATCGTTCGTTGACTAGCCGAGATGATGGTGGAGATGCCCTCATAACGGTCTTGTCCTCCCGAGACTTTGGGCCCTAGATCCTTGGCTTTTTGATTTGATGGCAACACCACGCCGCATCCCAGTAGAGCCTTTTGCGCGTCTGCCCCACGAGAAACAACACCCCACACAAAATCGAAGCTGGGATGTCCAACCTATCCTTAATTCGTTCAACGAAGCGAACAGGTCGAGTCGGACAACCAGTCCCGCCGCCGCCGGTCGCCCACCTTCCTCTTCCCGACTCTTGCCCGGGAACTGGGCGAGGGCACGTCTAGCTCCAACGAGGCATACTTCGATCCATGTCCTGCAGAGTTGCAGTCCTAATGAGACCCTCTTTTCTTCCCAAGGATGGGGGTAAGAATGGGGAGATGAGCCTTCGAGCTGGGCGGCCTGGTCAAACAGACTAGTTTCTGTCATCCATCAAGTTTGTCGGGGTAGTAACGTGTGCTCGATGAAAATAGGCCTGCTTCGGGAGATTTGCATTCATGTCAATCTTATTTCTCACGAGATGGCTAGATCCAAGTGGACGCTTGCCAAGTTCGCCTGCCTCAGGTGGATGAATAGGTCCGAGATAGATCACGGAAATACCACCAACTACTGGATGCAGACACTCCCTTCAAAACTTGGGTCCCTAGCCTTTTGTTGGCTTGAGTACGAGAGTAAGCTGCCAGGCTTGACACGATCAAGTTCAGACGATGGCCTCTCCCCTTTGCTGCAGACTTGGCCGTTGAGAGAGGGAAAACGAGAGAGAGCGTGGGAGTTGCATAGTCCTTGCCAAAGGTTTCGCACTTTCACCAACTGGCCTGGGCACTTGAACGGGAGACGGTGTTGCACATGAGGTAGGTTTAGCGGTATTGAAGATGCTGCTCGGATCGCTACGGGTCGGCTCCCTTTTGCACTCGCTGGGACCGAAGCTTGCTGCTCCATCCTTGCCTCGACAACTACATCCCGTGGACGCGCAACATTGTAAGGACCGTCCCTCGTCTCGTTTCGCACCCTATCCTTCCCCATCCTCCCCTCAAGTTCTATCGCATTACGCCCTTAACTAACAGGAGTAGGATGAGATGAAGCCCCTCCTCAGAAGAGCTTTGGCGATGTCGTGGAGCGAAGAATGCGGTCTTACGCCCTCGACCAGAAAGCCAATTTCTCCTTCTTGAAGTGCTCGAAATCCCATTCTCCCTGCTCGAGATGATCCGGATGAAGGTAGATGTACGTTTCTGTCTCCTTCTCTTCACCCGTCTCGATCACCCGCACCGTTACTTTCTGCCGGATGTATTCGGCTCCCTCGAATATATCGAGCTTCTCGATGTTGGCATCTGTGAGACCTGTCACATACATTCCCCGAACGGATTCCCCTTCTTGAGCCACGACTCCGGGATAGTCCGCAGCAGAGACGCGCCGCCGGATATGGCCTTCCAGAATCGCGGGGTTGACGGTGTGCAGATCCTCGAACACCTTTCCAGGATTCTTGCGGCCGTAAATGACGGAGAAAAGAACCTCAGGCGCCATCTAAGGGTGCGTGTGTTAACGACTTGGACATGATGAAGAGAGTATCAGGAGGGGCTCGAGGCGTAGTCCCTTTGACCCCTCCAGCGGCGCACCAACTTACTAGCGTCCCTACGCAGCCATTGTTAAATCCTGTCAGCTCTCTGATCGTTCCATGGTTGGTCGGAGTGATTCAAGGGTGTGCCGGTCTTCCATTGGGGATGATGATGTAGTTGGGCCAATGGTTTAATGGCTGGCTACCTACCGTAGAAAAACGCCGTGAATTGCTTATCGGAACTTTGAGGCTCAGGAGAAGGGGTGGTGTGGACCGTAGCCCTCAATCGTTCTTCGCCATTCGGTTTCAACATCTTGGTTTGACTGCCAAGCTTGAGGCAACCCAAGCGTTGGATGTACGGTGAGAAGAAAAAAAAGAGAAAGGAAAAAAGAGACTCGCAAAGGGACGAGGCTCCTTACGCCCAAGTGAGGAAGGATCTCGTCGGAGATCTACGACTTTGGGCAAGCTGTTTTTGCGATCAAAGAGAGAGAGAGAGAGAGAGAGAGCGAGGCACACACACGAGAGTTGCGATCCTTAAGGCGCGTCTTGAGGGTGTTTAGAGGTCTAGGGATTTCGATGGACGAATTTCTCGCCCTAAGGGGAGTGCTAGCTTATGAATACATCTTAGGAGTCCTCTGACAACGGGTGACTCGATCTTTGCTCGGCGTTAGGTGGGACCCCTCTATCTGTCGGCTGGTGGGGGAAAGGGGATCAAGGAGTGATAACAACTTCAGTGGCGGTTTTTGAGGGGCTTATCGATAAGAGCGCCACGGGGAAGGTACGCGAAAGCACGGTCAATCCCGCTGACAAAGGATTTGGAGGGCTGTCTTGCGAGAATCTTTGATTGGTTCGGAAAATAATTGATCCTGTGCCTAGCGCAATGTGATTTCGCGACAGCAGGCCCCGACCGCGACTTCCTTCAAAATTTCCTAGCCAACTCAAAGCTTCCGCTTGCAAGTAAAGCTCCCACATAAACCGACTGGGCATCGCGAACCCCCTCCATCTTTTCACATCACCACTTCCCACATACCCATCGCGGCCATTATTCCATACCAAAATTATCTGCAAGACCTTGTAAAGTGAAGCGCTCGATATATAGCCAACTTGCGCCGCTTTAGCTATATCATTTGAGCTCTTAACCTCTCGTCCCACTTTTCGATATCCGCATCGAACGTCCGACTATCCGCCATCGAACTACAAGTAGCCGCATCAAGAGAAGAGTCGACCTTGGCTCGACCATAGGTCGCTCATCTCCAACCTTCCATGGAAGTGTGCCTTGCGTCTTTTGATGCGCCAGCCGCCAGCATGGCGAACATAATCGATGATGTTGTGAAACGGCTGGCCACCCCGGAAATCGGTATGTCGCAAATGCTTCGTGATCTCCATCTTCGCCAACGACTGGGAGCTAACAATTATACGTGTACAGAGGCTAGGCTGCGAATAGAGGCCGCATCGGCCTTGCGCGACAACCTCGATCATTATACCGCCGGTCCCATCTACCCCGTTTTCCTGAGGAAGGTGATGCCGGCTTTCATCATCATCCTTAGGGGTCCTGCCATCTTCCACAGCAACTCCCCAGAGCAGGTAAGTTCCCAGTTCCTCAGACATGGTCAACAGCCCCCTAATGATGTGTAGAAACTGCGCAACTGCGTCCTGGAGATCCTCCACCGACTTCCGACCCCCTCGCTCCTCCTCCTCCCGTCGCCGGCGCCCTCCACAGCCTGCTCCCGCGCTCGAACCCTATGGCGAAGAGCTCGTCGATCTCCTGATGAATCTTGTGCGACAGGATAACGAAGAGAATGCCGTCATCTGCGTGAAGATTATCTCGGAAATCTTGCGGCACCTGCCGAGACAGCTCTCGGCCAAGATCCAGCCCTTCCTTTCCCTCATCCAAGAAATCTTTGGTCAGACGGATAGGATAGTGAAAGAGCAGCTCGATAATACCTCGCTATCAGCTAGCGCCAACCCTGGCGCGCCCTCTACACCTGGAAGCACTCAAACTAACTTCCAGTCCCCGCGTCCTGGCTCACCCGTCGCGTCCGTGAACGATCTCGGCCCCGACCCCCAACAGCAGAACCGAATGCTCGTCAAGGGTATGCAATCTTTTAAAGTGCTTGCGGAATGCCCGATAATAGTAGTCTCCATTTTCCAAGTGTCGCGCCAGCTTGTTGCCCATAATGTCAAGCTCTTCGTTCCTACAATCACGAACGTTCTCCTGTTGGAAGCCAGCGCCCAAAAGCAGGCGCATGAGGAGGCCAAGGCCAAAGGCGAAATTTTTACGGGTGTCAGTCCTTTGATCAAGAACCGAGCCGCATTTGGCGACTTCATCACGGCGCAGGTCAAAACGATGAGCTTTTGGCCTATCTACTTCGCCAGTATCAAAATCAACTTGCCGACTTCATCAAGGTTCTCCCCGATGTCGTTGTTAGGCTTTTAAAGGACTGTCCCCGTGAGAAATCCAGCGCGAGAAAAGAGCTACTTGTCGCCATTCGGCACATCATCAATTATTCATCACCACGAATCTTCTTGAACAAGATCGATGAGCTTTTGGACGAGAGGACATTGACTGGAGATGGGGTCACTGTGTATGAGACGATGAGGCCCCTCGCGTACAGCATGCTCGCCGATCTCATCCACCATGTCAGGGATCTTTTGAAACCGGAACAGATTCGGAAGACTGTCGAGGTGTACACCAAGAACTTGCAAGACGACTTTCCCGGAGCAAGTTTCCAAACTATGAGTGCTAGGCTTCTTCTGAATATGGCCGAATCCATCGCCAAGATGCCCAACAAAGTCGACGCTAGGCACTACTTGATGAAGATATTAAACTCCATTGCGGACAAGTTTGCGGCGATGAATCGCCAGTATCCCAACGCTGTTAAGCTCTCCAAGAAGTACGCCCAACAAGCGGCAGATGGCGTCACAGAACCTTACCTCCCGGATAAGAGGTTCCCCCGATTGGGATGAGATTGACATCTTCACGGCCACGCCGATCCGGACCACGAATCCACGCGATCGACCCCCGATCCAATCGTCGATAACAAGTTTCTGTTTAGGAATCTCATGAATGGTTTGAAAAACACCTTTTATCAGCTTCGTGCCTGTAACGTCGGCCAGGGCGTCGACCCTAAGAATGCACCTCCCCACTGGCAGGATGTTGCGTTTGGCTTCACTGCCGAAGAGGTCAAAGTCATCACGAAACTTTTCAGAGAGGGCGCTCACGGCTTCCGGTATTACGAAGTCGAGAAGTCCGCGACTGAGGTGCAAGCAACCTCACCGGTGGAATATGTCGCCAATGTCAATTGTAGCAAGGAAGAGAAGGACCTACTTGAGACGTTTGCGACAGTCTTCCATTACATCGACCCCGCTACCTTCCACGAAGTTTTCCAGCAAGAGATACCCCGACTTTATGAAATGATATTTGAGCACACTGCCCTTCTGCATATACCCCAGTTTTTCCTCGCCAGCGAGGCCACCTCCCCGAGCTTCTGCGGCATGCTTCTCCGCTTCCTAATGGACCGGATTGACCAAGTCGGTTCCGCTGATGTGCGAGATTCGGCTATCCTGCTGAGGCTTTTAAGCTCGCCTTTATGGCGGTCACCCTATTTGCGAGCCACAACGAACAAGTTCTGCTTCCCCACGTTGTCGATATTGTCACCAAGTCCATCGACCTCTCCTCCAAGGCCGAGGAGCCCATTAATTACTTCCTCCTCTTGAGGTCTCTCTTCCGTAGCATCGGCGGCGGCAAGTTTGAGCACCTATACAAGCAGATTCTTCCACTTCTGGAAATGCTGTTGGATGTGCTCAACAACCTTCTCATGGTTGCTCGGAAACCTTCGGAGCGCGACTTGTACGTCGAGTTGTGTCTTACGGTCCCGGCTAGGCTTAGCAACCTTTTGCCGCATCTTAGTTTTCTGATGAGGCCTCTTGTTGTCGCCCTGCGCTCAGGCACCGACCTTGTTGGCCAGGGCCTTCGAACCCTGGAGCTTTGCGTGGACAATTTGACCGCCGATTATCTGGACCCTATCATGGCTCCGGTGGTGGACGAGCTCATGACCGCCCTGTTTGACCATCTCAAGCCGCATCCCTACAGTCACTTCCACGCGCACACTACCATGCGCATCCTGGGGAAGCTCGGCGGACGCAACCGGAAATTTACAACCGACACGCAACAGCTCAACTTCCAAGAGTTTGCCGATGATCCAGCAAGTCTCCAGCTCCGTTTGGTTGGCTCGAAGAAGGACCGTCCGTTTCCTGCCGAAATCGGCATCGACCTTGCGATTAGGAAACTCTCCGAAATTCCTAAGCCGACTACGAAAGGTAGTCAGGGCCGTCAACATGATCTGTATTACAAGTCCCAGGCACTCTCGTTTCTCAAGGCACAGTTAAAGTTGCGCATCGGTTTTGATGGGCTCCCGGAAGACTACCCGCGACTTATTCGGCTCCAGGTCCAAGATTTGGTCAAACGAAAATTAGAGTTTGACTTCTCGCAATTCGTCACATCCTCCAGGGATAGCTCTATTCCCAAAAGGACGGCCAGGATGATCTTGTCAGGCGGCTTCTCAAGGCTCTCATTGCCGCAGAGGCAATGCCGGAATTCAAAGAGGGCTCAGACGGCTTCTTGATGAATGTATGCAGGCACCTTACCATCATCGAGGTAGGTAGGGCCGTCATCGACGTGAAGCGAGTCATGACACCGTTTGACCAGCTCGCTGGTGAGGGACCTTTTTGTATCGACGCCCGGGTTCTCGGTGACGCCATTGTAGAATCGCTTGCATCTGATCAAATTCAGGTCCGCGAGGTTGCGCAGGCTGCCTTGCGAGAGATTCACCGGTCAACTGCCACTATTTTCGGCTCTGAGATAGGGGTCGCTCGGCTCCCCTTCTTCACCTACATGTCGACAACATTCTGCCACAGCTGCTACGAGGAAGAGTGGTTCACAAAAACCGGTGGCACCCTTGGTATCAAGTTCCTATTGACCGAATTCGACTTGGGTGACTATTGGCTCGCTTCGAAGCAGAACGAATTTATTCGGGCTCTATTATACGTCATCAAAGACATCCCGCAGGATCTACCGGAGCGAACAAGGCGCTATGCCCAGGAGACTCTAGAGATCCTGCTCAAACGCCTGACAAAGAGTGCAAAGAAGGAGGATGTTACACCGGCACGGCCCCAGCCTGGCCAGCCTCCTGTGAAGCCTCCTCGGTTGGCCCAGATCTGCATGCTCTTCAACAGTGAGCTGTGCAACATGAACCCTCACATTCGAGAGACTGCAAAGCGGTCTCTAGAACTCATTGCGACGGCTGCAAACTGTGAGGTCTGGGAGCTTGTCGAACACTACCGCGATCGTCTCTTGCAACCTATTTATGCCAAGCCCCTCCGCGCTCTTCCGTTTGCCGTTCAAATTGGCTACATCGACGCCGTCACTTACCACATGAGCCTCAAGCAGGATTGGGTAACGTTTGATGACAACCTCAATCGCATGCTGATGGAATGTCTGGCGCTCGCCGATGCAAGCGACGAGTCCTTGGCCAACAAACCCGCGGAGTACAGGACACAGGAAAATATTGTGGCCTTGCGAGTAGCCTGTATTAAGCTTCTCAGCACAGCAGTAGCGTTCCCCGAGTTTTCCAAGGGAGCCCTAGCCGCGACACGAACCAAGTTCGTCGCTGTCTTCTTCAAGTCACTTTATTCGAGTCGCAAGCGACCATCGAAGCTGCGAATGATGCTCTCAAATCAGTTGTCTCTCCTACGACCAAGCTGCCCAAGGAATTGCTCCAAGGTGGTTTGAGGCCCGTCCTCGCTAATCTCGCGGATGCTAAGAAGCTCACCGAACATGGCCTCAACAATCTTGCTCGTATTCTTAAGCTGCTGACGAATTACTTTAAGTTGGAAATCGGTGCCCGGCTGCTCGATCATACCAAGGCCATCGCTGATCCCAATCTATTACAACAACTCTCCTTCACCTTTTTGAGCAAAACCCCTCAATGAAGGTGATTGCCTCGGTCTTTAATGTCTTCCATCTTCTACCCGATGGAGCCGATGGTTTTAAGGAGCGTCTCATCCATACCGTGCTTGACCTCGAGGAACAGCTTCGCCGGACACAAATGAGCCCGTTCAGGGCGCCTCTCTTCAAGTTCATCAACAGATACCCTAAGGAAGTATGGGGATTCCTCCTCAGCAAGTTGGGCGAGCTCAAGTACGGTCGCTTCTTGGCGCAGGCCCTCGACGATCCGGATAGCGTCGCCCTGCGAGAGGCCGCTACAGCCGACATCGAAAACTTGATCAAGAAGTGTGTCGAGATTGGTCAGAAGCAGGCTGATATGAAGTCTACCGCCGCCATCAATGCCATCAACATTCTCGACTCCTCAGCAGGTGGCCCGGGGCCGCGGTTTGGATGCAGAAACCCGAGGTCATCACCTGGCTCAAACAAGCTGGCAAGGATCTCGAGCAAACTCTTCGCAACTTCACCCTTCCCCTCAGCTTCGTCTTCCCGCTGACCAGGCGGCTGAGCAACTTGTATCCATCCTTGTTAAGGCCTTGGAACAGTCCCCCAAGGATCTTGACCCTCTCCTGAGTTTGATCCACTCGGTCACGGTTGGAGAATTTAGGGCGACTCACCCCTTGTACGCCCACATCTATAAATTCATCATTTGCAGTGACTCGGTCGAACTTTGGAAGGCCGTATTCTTCAAGTGCCTTGAAGTCTACGGAAGCAAAACGGCTGCTCAGAAGACGAAGTGGTTCCTCCTACATTACATTGTCAACCCAATCATCGCCATGGATGTCATGCGAAACTGGGACCAGCCGGAGTCGGTCAAGGGCCCTAAGCTGATGGATCGAGCCGTTCTGGATGCTGTCTCGACCAGGATGTGGAGGCTCATCTCCGACATGAATATCGATGATACTGCGCAGCCCGGTATCGACCACACTCGATTCGAGGTGCTGCAGCTGTCAGCTATGATTGTCAAGTACTACCACACGTCGCTCCAGGATTCGCGCAAGGACATCATCAAGTTCGGCTGGACATATATACGCCTCGACGATGTTATCATCAAGCATGCTGCTTACGTAGTAATTGGCTACTTTATAGCTTTATTCGAGACGCCAGCCAAGATCCCAACACAAATCTACGTTTCTCTCCTACGGATTAACCAGAATGAAGGGAGGGCATTGGTTAGCCAAGCCTTGGAGTTGGTGGCACCTGTTCTACCCAAGAGATGCAATACTCTACCTAATGAGCGCAGCAACGCCTGGGCTCTGGCCCCGCGGCGCGTCCTCGCGGACGAGGGTCAGAACAATCATCAAATGACATCGATCTTCCAGTTCTTGGTGAAGCACCCAGACCTCTTTTACGAGGCACGAGACAAATACGTCATGCTCATCATCTCGTCCCTCCGAAAGGTGGCGTCGCCACCGAATCCTACCAGCGAGAATCGCAAGCTTGCGCTGGGCATGATGTGGCTGATTTGGCAATGGGAGCAACGCCGGGTCGAGGGCAAAACTGCTACCGAGACGCCAGCCCCCGATTCTCCCGCTTCGAGGAAACGCGGGCCAGACTCCGAGACCCCCGCCTCCGCATCACCGGCCGCATCTCGCCAGGGAGCCCCAAACGCCAGAGCCTTGTCCGAGTCCCCAAACACTAAGAAGCGAAAGCTCGAAGGCGATCAACAACAAGGTTCTGTATCCCCTTCGGCGCCTAGGCAGGCAAACTTGCCTCCCGCGGCGGACAAGTCCGACTTTATCATCCCCCCATTGCCCGCCAGAAGATGGTTAAGTACCTGATCGAGTTCATTGCTCAGCTCAACGACCGATTCCCCCTCCAGTCCGCCAAACCCAAGGATGCTCCCGCAGCTGGGACAGTCGCCTCCCCATCCACCGGGGAACTTGCGAAGAAGTCTATCCAGTTGCTTTACAATCTGCTACAGCCGCAATACTGGGGTGATCTCGAGTTGGATACCTTCCCCGCGATAACCAACGGCATTCTGGCATCAGAGAAAACACAGACGGTACTCACGGCTGACCCAACGGATAAAGAAAAATATGACGAGAAGTTCATGACGAGCATCATTAACACTCTGATGGTTGTTCGTGTCATCCTGAACTTCAAGTCAGACGAGTGGATCAACAAGAGTCTGAGCTCAATCCTAAAGATTGTCGATAAATGTGTCAAATCCGAGAATCCTGAAATCCAAGATTGCCTTCACGTCGCGGACAAGAATATGGGCGAAGAGCATGAGATTGTCCCGATCATTAAGAGAGTTCTGGATGCCGTTCCCGAGGATGTTCCAATGGAAGATGCCGATGGTGAAGGAGAATCTGAGGTCCAGATGTCAGAAACAATTACCTCTCTCTCCACCATTGCCGGCGAGCTGATGGCTAATGGCCATTATACCTCTGGTGTCAACCTGCTTTGGTCTTTGGGTCAACGAAAGCCTACGGTTATTGATCAGCACGTGCTGATTCTCATGAAGGCGTTGCAAAGCCGACTTGCGCGAGAACACGTCCAGCATTATACGTCCACCACCACTACTCAGACCACGCCACCCCGCTCGCAGGATCCAAATGCACCGACGACGACCGGAGAGATGTCACCTTATGAGCTTGAGACTCAGACCCAAATCATGCAAAGAGCCATTATTACCGTTGCGCTACGAATGGAAGTCCTTGGCGACAACAGGAGGCCGTTCCTTAGTGTACTAGCCACACTCGTTGAGAAATCATACCACATCCCCTTGTGTGAGGCTATCCTCGATATGGTGGAAGGGTGGGTGTTTCGCTCAGAGGGAACATGGCCGACGCTCAAGGAGAAGACTGCGGTTCTCCACAAGATGCTCTCCTTTGAACACCGGCCCGATCCGACGATGCTGACCAAGTTCCTCAATCTCGTTATTCGTATCTACGAGGACCCCAAGGTCACGAGAACAGAGTTGACTGTGCGCATGGAACACGCATTCCTCGTCGGAACCCGAGCGCAAGATGTCGAGATGAGAAACCGATTCATGACCATCATGGATAAAAGCCTATCGAAGACTGCCACAGCTCGCCTGGCGTATGTCATATCCGATCAAAATTGGGCTAGTCTTGCCGACTCCTACTGGCTTGTTCAGGCTTCGCAACTTCTCCTTGGCGCCGTTGAGTCCAACGCTGCGGCCCAACTTAGCCGTGACGACTTTCAGACTTGGTCACCTTCTCAACTCACGTCCATGTACGCCAAGGATACTCGTGAGCCAAGCATGATTTGCGACGACAAATTCGAGGCATTTATGACCGAGCACCGCAGGTTCCTTACTGAGCTTGGCGATGTCAAGGTTCGCGACATACTAGAGCCACTTGCGCAGCTGCAGCACATCGACTCCAAGGTCGCCCACCAACTCTGGACGACGCTCTTCCCCATGTTTTGGTCCGCAACTGCCAAGGATGAGCGCATGGACCTCCAGAAGGGTCTGGTTGCTTTACTAACTAAAGAGTACCACAACCGGCAGATCGACAAGCGTCCCAATGTGGTGCAATCTTTGGTAGAGGGTGCGGCACGGGCGTGGCCGGAATGCAAGCTTCCTCCGCATGTGGTCAAGTTCGTTTCAAAACGTACGGGGCTGGTACACTGGCCTCGTGCAGCTCGAGAAGGCTGCTATCCAGCCCGAAGTTGATTCTGCGACTGTGCGCGAGAGCAACCTGGATGCGCTGGTCGATTTGTACGCGTCTCTTGAGGAAGAGGACATGTTCTACGGAACGTGGCGCCGTCGCTGCCAGTTTGTGGAGTCCAATGCTGCTCTGTCCTACGAGCAAAATGGCATGTGGGACAAAGCCCAACGAATGTACGATGCGGCGCAAATCAAGGCGCGCACTGGCGTTACGCCGTTCTCGCAGGCGGAATACATGCTTTGGGAGGATCACTGGGTTCGCTGTGCTCAGAAGCTCCAGCAATGGGATATGCTCCAAGACTTCGCGAAGCACGAGAACTTCCAAGATCTCCTCTTGGAGTGTGCCTGGAGGTGCCATGATATGTGGCAGGATTCCACGCATCGCGATGGCCTGGACAATATTATCAAGGGCTTCATGGATGCCCCGACACCCCGTCGCTTGTTCTTCCAGGCCTTCATGTCACTCTTAAGATTCCACAACACCCAGGAGTCTCTCAGCGAATTTAACCGGGTGTGCGACGAAGCTATTCAGTTGTCTATTCGCAAGTGGTATCAGCTCCCGGCGAATCTGACCAAGGCACACATACCCCTGCTTCAGAACTTCCAGCAGCTGGTAGAGCTCCACGATGCTAGCATCATCTGCCAGAGCCTCGCCAATACCACGCAGAGCAACCTCGACGTCAAGTCGGGCGAGCTGAAGCTGTTACTTGGTGCCTGGCGAGACCGACTTCCAAACGTTTGGGATGACATCCAGTCGTGGCAAGATCTCGTCACATGGAGGCAACACATCTTTGGCCTCATCAACCAAAAGTATCTGCAACTCCTCCCCCAACCCGGTGGCCAAAATGCGGGAGGCGCGTCATTCGCGTATCGAGGCTATCATGAAACGGCTTGGATTATCAACAGATTCGCCCATGTCGCACGCAAGCATAGTCTCCCTGAGGTCTGCATCAACCAGCTGAGTAGGATTTACACGCTGCCGAACATAGAGATTCAGGAGGCGTTCCTCAAACTCCGTGAACAAGCAAGGTGTCATTACGAAAACCCAGACGAGCTGCGAAATGGCCTCGACGTAATCAACAACACCAACCTCAACTACTTCTCGGCGCCTCAAAAGGCAGAGTTCTACACCCTTAAAGGCATGTTCTTGGAAAAGTTGAAGGAGAATTCGGAGGCGGACGCCGCATTCGGAACCGCGCTGTACTTCGACATCACCGCAGCCAAAGCGTGGGCGGAGTGGGGTTACTTCAACGAACGCAAGTTTAAGGAGAACCCTACCGACCTCAATTCGGCCAAGCAGGCCCTTACGTCGTACCTCCAGGCTGTTGGTAGCTACAAGAGCCACAAGTGTCGCAAGCTCATCTCACGCATCCTCTGGCTTCTGACGCTGGATAACAATGAGGGTGTCATTGCGTCGGGCTTCGACGACTACAAGGAGAAACGCCTGTGTGGTATTGGATTACTTATATTCCTCAACTCCTGAGTGGCTTGGGCTATAAGGAGGCCCCTCGTCTGCTTACAATTCTGCTCCGGATCGCGAGATCATTCCCTCAGGCCCTCTACTTCCAGCTTAGGACTAACCGTGAAGATATGTTCACCATCAAGAAGAGCCAGGAAGCCAAGGAGAGGGTCGAGAAGGCGCGCAAGGCTCAGGCAGCCGCGGCAGGCGGAGCTAATGGCTCTCCCGTCCAGGCGAAGACTGAGAAGCCCGACGGGTCGACGTCGAGACCCGGGACTGCAAACGGCGAAGCGGCCAAGGCGGACAACACCGGCGTTAAGACCGAGGCTGCCAAGGAGGGACAGAAGCCGCAGACGCCTGGATCGCAAGGCCAGGGTACCCCCGCCCCGGACAACAGCAAGGGCAGACGCAGCCCGGCACAGGTGCCCAGCGGAAGCCCTGGGAGCTCAACGATGAGATTATGACGACGCTGAAGACCGCATTCCCGCTCCTCGCGTTGTCGATGGAGACCATGGTCGATCAAATTCAGAAGCATTTCAAGTGCCCGCCCGACGAGGACGCATATCGCCTCATCGTTGCTCTGCTGAACGATGCTCTTGCCTACGTCAGCCGCATGCCTGCCTCATTCGCAAAGGACGTCAAGCTTCCGGCAGCGACGGAAACCAACATCACCCGCTTTGCCGAGACCATCCTTCCCTCGCATATCAAGAAGTCGTTTGAAGCTGATTTCGTGCAAGTCAAGCCAACCATGTACGAATACATCCACAAACTCCGGGGTGGAGGAACAAGTTTGAGGAGAAGCTCGACAGACGCAACTGCCGCGTCTCCCTGGAGGGCTTCTCGCTTCACCTGAGCGAATTCCAGTACCAAAAGTTTGACGACGTGGATATTCCCGGGCAGTACTTGCTGCACAAGGACAAGAACCAGGACTTTGTCAAGATTGACCGTTTCTTGCCCAACGTGGACCTTGTCCGTACTAGCAGCGCGTCGTACAGGCGCCTGCGCATGAGAGGTCGCGACGGAAGCATCCACTCGTGGGCTGTCCAGCACCCGGCCGCCCGTCACTGCAGACGCGAGGAGCGGATCCTCCAACTCTTCCGCCACCTCAACCAGACGCTCAGCAAGAAGAAGGAGAGCAGAAGACGGGACCTGCAGTTCACGCTACCCATCATGGTGCCGCTAGCGCCGCATATACGCATCGTCAAGGAAGACGCTAGCTGGGTCACGCTCCAAGCGGTGTACGAGGACCACTGCCGCAGGAACAAGCTATCCAAGGATGAGCCTATCCTCTTTGCCATGGAAAAGCTGAGAGCCATCCTGGAACCCAAAACATCTGTAAGTCAAACCTTTGCCCCGGCCGGGTTCCGCCTTGGCTTTATCAAACATGGCCGCTGACCAACCCAAGCATCGCCCTTCGGAGCAACACGCGACGGCCCGACTAGAGGTTCTCAACGCTATCCAAGAGAAATGGGTACCCCACACGGTGGTGCTAGACTATTTCCAACGCATTTACCCCGAGTTTGAAGACTTCTGGCTCTTCCGGCGACAGTTCTCGTACCAGCTCGCCGCTCTCACGTTCATGACGTACATTTTGTACATGCACAACCGATACCCGCATAAGATGCACATCTCACGCGGCTCAGGCAACATCTGGGGCTCGGAGCTCATGGCGTACATGGGGGTTAACAAGCCATATTTCGTCAACCCGGAGCTGGTTCCTTTCCGGTTGACCCCTAACCTCCAGACCCTCATGGGCCCGCTCGCAACGGAAGGCATCTTTAGCGTTGCGATACTCGCAATCGCCCGGTGCCTTACAGAGCCCGAGCTGGACCTTGAGCACAATCTCACGCTCTTTGTCCGCGACGAGATCTTGGTATGGTTTACCACGTACAGCCACCGCAAGGAGCAGTTTATGGAAGTTCCTTCGGACACGATCCGCGAGACGGTGCAGCTCAATACGGACCAGATCGTGAAGCGTGCGGTCAGCCTTGCACAGAGCCCGCCAGGCAACCTCCCGGCGACGCAGACGGTGATTGACTTGATTGCGAAGGCGGTGAACCCGCTTAACTTGGCCCAGTGCGACGCGCTCTGGATGCCATGGTTGTAAGACGCATCCTACCACACGGCGAGGTGTGTAGTTGGAGATGGCGTAGGAAGATTAGAGGGCGGCAGTGGCGATGTATTCTATTTCTCTTTTCTTATCCTCATGAACATGTTTTTGTTTTTCGTTCATCTTATTACCGTCAGGCGGCCCTAGGGGAGCACACTCGGTGCGCGGAGTTTTAGGAAGGGATAAAGGGTTTTTTTCTTTCTTTTCTTGTCTTATTGTTTTTCGGGTCTGTGTACGATTCTAATATTCTTCCACCCTCTCTCTCTTTTCAAGTTTCTTTTCTCTCTGTACTTAATTCGGAAAAAAGTTCTCGTCTTGATCATCACCACCGACTGTCTTTTTCTCAGTGCGTGTCCTCACACAGCCCCCAAACTACGCACCAAACTGATTGCCAGCCTTAGGGTAGCAGGTTAAGTCGTAGATGTGATGTTCGCAACTATGGCGAGAAAGACCCATCAAAGATTAGATTTAGACCCTGTAGTCCAATCTTCAATGCGATGATTCGTCCATCTGAAGAGTCTCGACCATTGATGTATGGAGATGTCGCTGTGCTGTGTCGTGCTGGCCATTCTCTAACGGGCGGGAACATATTCGGAGCAGCTGGCCACACCTGCCAGAAGTGCCGATGATAACGTCGTCATGGATCCGACTTTGCTGGACCAATCGCGCAGGCACAGGTGACAAGGCGCTGGCGAGGACTTTTGCCCGTTCAACAAACAAAAAATCGCCCGTACCGATATCAATCGAGGCAAAGCGATCATCCCAGGAAGCAAAGTCCGATCGTCTGAATCGACAACCCTCTCGTGCATTTCCCTCCCGCCGACTCCCACCCACCCTTACCTCGACCCGATCTGGCTCGCGCCTTCCAATTCGAATGTCGCAATAAACGAGCGAAACGGAGTCTTCCCATTTCAAAGGGACAATCCCATCCTTGTCGCTCTCTTTCTATCGCCTACTCGCCTCCTAGAATACCTCTCCGACTCCCTTCTTTTCCGTCCTTTGCGAGTTTCGAGATCCGAGAACGCCCAACCTACGACGAAAGCCAGATTCCCCCCTCAAACCCACATATAGTGACTCGAATATTCTTTTTTTCTCCTTCTTTGCCCTCTTCCGAAGGGATTATAGAAAGTCAACCGTTAGCCCCGACCTGGGCGTCGACCTCTCCGACATCATGGATGCCAAGTCGCCAGAGGATGTCATGGCCTTTGCGGTCGCCCACCAACGGCCCAAGTCGAGCTTTCAAGGTTGTTCGAGGATCACCGACTACGTACTGTTGGGTAAGCTTGGTGAAGGAACCTTTGGGTAAGTCGTTGTACTTTTCTTTTTTTTTTTTTTTTTTGCGCGATCGCGATGCTAGCTCGCCGGCTAGCCTCGTCATCGTCGTCGTCGCCGTCGTCTACTGCATCGCTAGGGTTTCTTACTCTCACTCTTTGTCTCTGTCTTGCTCTCCCCCTCTTTTCCTCTTTTGCCTAATTGCTTTCCGTTTTCGCACGACTGCGGCGTGGTCATTGGAAGCCGGGCTAACCACATCGCTAACCCACCACAGTGAGGTGCATCGAGCCCGCTCGCGAAAGACAAACGCGCTCGTCGCGTTGAAGAAAATCATCATGCACCACGAAAAAGATGGCTTCCCCATTACGGCGCTAAGAGAAATTCGGCTTCTCAAATTTCTCTCTCACAAGAATGTTCTCAGCCTCGAGGACATGGCTGTCGAGCATTCACAACGGCCGAGTCAGTAGTCCCCTTGCTTCCAGTCGCATTATTTCCCCCTCTCAGGTATACGAAACAGAGACACAAATACTAACGCTCGCCACTGATTCTTTTTCTTCTTCCCTTGTACAGCGGATAAACGAAGGAAGCCCATCATGTACATGGTCATGCCCTACATGGACCACGACCTATCGGGTCTGCTCGACAACCCATCCGTCCACTTTACGGAACCTCAGATCAAGTGCTACATGGTCCAACTTCTCGAAGGCCTTCGATACCTCCACGAGAACCGAATCCTCCACCGAGATATGAAGGCGGCCAACCTACTTATCAGCAACAAAGGCATCCTCCAAATTGCGGATTTCGGTCTGGCGAGGTTTTACGAGGGACCACGACCCAAACCGGGGCTTCCCGTGGGCGAGGGGAGGAGGGAATATACCGGCCTGGTTGTGACGCGGTGGTACCGCCCTCCTGAGCTATTGCTGCACCTCAAGAGGTACACGGCCGCAATCGATATCTGGGGTGTAGGGTGAGTGTCGCGCCCATCCACGTTTCTTCTTTCTTTTTTTTTCAGAAAGACGACGGAGCGTATACGCTAACAGGCGATAGATGTATCTTTGGCGAGATGCTCGTTGGAAAGCCCATTCTCACGGGTGAATCCGATGGCCATCAACTAGAGCTCATATGGGATCTTGTTGGATCCCCACCGAAGACAACATGGCTGGGTGGAAGAATTTGCCTGGTGGTGAGGTTCTTAATCCGAGACCTCGACCGGGATGTCTTGGCACTAGATTCAAGGAGTAAGTTACGCTCCATCCTCAAGTCTCTTTTGCCCAACTGTCGGCCCGAATCTAACATGCCCCGCCCCTTGCTCAGGCACGGTGCCGGTGCTGTGTCCCTCCTCAAAGAACTTCTCAAGCTCGACTGGAGGACGAGGATAAACGCGGTCGATGCGCTCCAGCACCCGTACTTCAAGATGGCCCCTCTTCCCGCCAATCCCGCCGACATTCCGACTTTTGAAGAAAGCCACGAGTTTGATAGGCGGAAGTTTCAAGACCGACGAGCCGCCCTGCCCCCGCTCCCAAGGGAGGTACGGTGGGCAAGGGACCCGAGGGCGCCAACGGAGCGACTGCGGGTCTCAACAGCACCGATTCCTTCCGAAACAGCGCGAACGGTGGCCGGTACGGCGGCGGCGGCGGCGGCGGTCCTCCCGCAATGGGGGCGATGATCGACGTCCCGCGTGGCAACGTGGAGAGCGCGGTCTCCCGCCTCGGCCACCCTCCCGAAAGAACGGGTGGGATGCGCCGGATGCGGACCCATACAACGACCGTGACCGTCGATCACGTAGTCGGGGAACGAGAGGTGGTGCCGATATCGACACCTACATTCCGAGTTACGGAGGGGGTGGGGTCCCGGTGGCGGCGGTGGCGGTGGCGGCGGTGGTGGTGCTGGTGGCGCTGGTGGTGGTGGAGGGCGACACAGAGACGACTGGCAGCCTCGCGACGACCGCCGTCGACGAACCAGTAGGGATGATCGGGACCGATGGCAGGAGAGGGATCGCGAGAGAGATCGGGACCGAAGGACGAGGAGCCGTAGTAGATCTCCTATGCGGGACCGCGATCGAGACGTGTACGCCCGCCGATAGAATCGGCCAGGCCGTTCCTGCTAAAATTGGTAGGCGTATGGCGGCGGAGCCCGGGGCCAAGAAGCTTGGGGCCATTCCTGAAGAGCCGTCGCCATGACCCTGCAGCAACAAGAAGAACGGAGTCCATACGGCGCAGCGGCAAGGTTGCTATATCAGTTTCCCGAGGAGCACTGGTACAAATAGCCTCGTTCACGCCCCTCTTTGGCAATCGACTGTTTCTTATTTCATATTCAAATGAATTACATTTGCGCTACGAGGATCGGAATGGCGTTAGCAAGTCATTCACAAGTTCTCCCGACCGCGACCACAAGGACCTGTTCACCCAGCTATTATACATGGAAGCAAACCAATTCCGCACCCGTTATTTCTTCTGGCAACTTTTGTTCGCACTAATATTTTTCTTGGTATTTTTCCTCTTACCTCGTTGACTTTCTATGAGCGTCTCCTCACTCCTCCACAAGTACGACAGATCAGTTGATATGTTTCGTCGGCTTTTTGGGGGTAGTTTTGTATCTCTAGCTGGGGAGGGTTTCCGCGGATTCTGGCGTTGGCGTGGTCCAACTATTCACTTCACAAAGTGGCAAGGAAGCGGCGCAAGCCTTGGGGTCGCTACTTTTATCTTCCTTCTCACCGGGGAGGTTTTTTTCTTCTGAAGGGGTTTCGGAATAGGAAAGCGAGTCAGAGTGCCATAATGTTCTACGACGAGGTTTTGGAAAGAGGAAACTAGTCAATGGAAGAGAAGAGGGGAAGGCGTGCGATAAGGGATATAATGTTTGATTCTGACCGTTCAATCGAGGCCGTAGCGTTTCGTCAACTATACAGTTACCAAGGAAGACGAGGGTGAATTAAATACAATTAAAAATGAGAAGAAGAAGAAGAAGAAGAAGTAGAAGACGAAGAGAAACAGGCCAAATGCTCGCTCTCTCGAATTAGGTCTAGCAGGTTCAATATGCTTGCTATGCGTGGCCATTTGCGCTCCCATTACTCCCTGACATGTGCTTTGCCATGGGTTTTTCACGGGCAACGCGACGGGGTCAGCCAAACGCCGCGAGGAGGACGCCACAGGCTCTAGCGCGGGCGAGAGTAAGGGGAGGTCAAGGGGTTCGCGCTTCCCGGCGAGCGGTGCGGCATCGTCGTCGGCGGCGTCGAGGAGACGTTCGTCGTCATCGAGCCAGCCGAGGAGGCGGGAGATGGAACGAGAGATGCGCCAGAGAACGACGCCGGCGAGGAGGCCGACGAGGGCGCCGGTGATGAACTAGGTGGCGGGGGTTAGTGGGATTGGCGCGGGGGCGCAAGGCGATGGGCCCAGCATGGGGCTGGGGGCACTTACAAAGGTATATAGCGCCTAGAGAGTATATCGAGCGGAAGGCGATAGCCAACAAGGGAGCAAGGGTTAGTGCTGCCGTTACAGGGGGAGGGAGGCGAACAGGGTCGGGGCGCGAAACGAACCTTGAATTCCAAAAGACGGCGGAGACGGCGCCCAGGCACAAGGCGATGCCGGCGGCCGGGTAGGTGAGGGGTGCGAGGAGGAGCCTCAGCAGAGAGACGAAGGGCCGCAGCAAGGCCTTGAGGAGGTGCCAGGGAAAGAGCAGGACGTCGGAGGTGAAGAGGAGGGAGAGGACGGATTCGAGGGAGGCGAGGACGGCGGAGACGAGGTCGGCTAGGAAGAGGGCGAGGGCGAGGGCGGCGGGGAGGAGGACGGAGGTGACGAGGGAGGAAAATAGAGTGAGGGTGGCGGGGACGGCGGCAGTGAGGGAGGTGACGAGGAAGACGACGAGGGAGACTTCGCTCATGGTTGGCGAGGAGGGGTTGTGGGGATGGGTGGCGGCGAGGGCATCATTCTTGTTGTTTGGGGGTAATAGAAGAAGGGAGAAGGGTTTTGTGGTGGGTGGGAGGAGGAGTAGGTGCAAGGGGGTGATGGTCCCATGCGCCCGGTAGGGTGTGGGAGTGGACTACCATGTATGGATGTATCGGAGGAGAGTTTTGGTGATGGGTTGGGTTGAATTTGGATTGGTAGAGGGCCGCGTGTAAAGGTTTACAATTTGCCTAGAGTATTTTACTTCTTTTTTTAATCTTTCTTTTTATGAAGGTGGAGATATTTAGTTTTGTTTTCGAGGGAAGCTCTTCAGGGTGGTCCACGAGCGACGTTCAACGATAAGGATGCGCGACGTTGATAAAGGTCAATGGGGACAGCGAGGCGGAATTGTGGACGAGCACCAGCAAGCACGGCACGGGTGGGCTGCTCTTCGGGCCAAAAAATAAATCGTTGTCTCAGTGGATGGGAATTCAGCTAGAAGATACTCCTATTACTACATGTAGATCCCGGTTGAGAGAAACTACCTCGCAGCTGGTTCCTGTTCCTGTCGGGGATGCAACGGAGTGCCGGCCTAATGAGTATGACCTGGGGCCGCACCAAGTGTGTTATATGTTATTATTCCCAAGTTCGTGGCTGGACCCATTTGACCGGACCAGGCTCATTCTCAGTGCAGGCCGAGCAAGTGTTCGTTGATCTATGTACTTGGTCATTTGGTACTTTGTAGTTTTCAATGTTTTCACGGTATTGGGAGCTGGGGACAGACACTATGTGGACATACACCACCGAGGCATGTCATGTGAGTACAATGGATCTATGGAATGGATCAATTGATGTACCGCTCGGCGAGACCAGCGAGGGGAGGGACCTGGCAGGAGCATTGGTCAATTGATGGTGAAAGCCGGCCTGTTGTTTGCTATGGGAGTATTATTATGATGGAGCAACAGAGCAAGAGAGCAATTGAAGAGCAAAGACGCCCACTTCGTTCCTTGTACATCAATTAGATTCCTCCGACGTAGTGTACTAATACCCCACGCACCCACGCACCAAGCACCAAGCACCAAGCACCAAGCACAAGCGCAACCCGCAGCCAAACCAGGCTAAGAAAATGGATGGATTGAATGGATCTATGGATCCATCCATTTGTATCTTGCCACTTAACCCAAAGCAACAGCTACTTGCAATACTTGCACTACTTGCCGAGCACATGCTGCCACATCCGGAAGCCGTGGCCCAGAGAGGAAACCGGTGTTTGCAACTTTGGACGGTTTGGGCAATTCTGCCTCGCACACCGCCAAAAATTCCAGAGAAACGGTCAAAATCCAATGGTGTAGCTCTTATTAGTTTTCTCCGATCCCCCAAGGCCCAAGGAACATTGGTCGATACTATTTTTTTTCGCTCCCGCTCGTTTTCTTATTTTCCTTTCTTCTTCTTCTTCTTCTTCTTCTTCCTTTCCCAGTCCAGCTTGTGATTCCATTTTCTTTGCCTCTGTTCGTGTGCTTGAAATACAAGCCATACATCAAGACCTCTCTTTACAAACAACTTGACCCCGGCCCCCGCCATCACAGCCATGGCGCAGAACGGACAGGAAAGCACCGTTACTTACGAGGAGCTTTTGGACCTCGAACGCGAGTTTGAAGATGCCGATGCCGAAATCAGTATGTTGCGCTTTACACCTTTTCCCATTCAAATCATATATATATATCTATATATATATACATGTCCATATTATATCTAGGCCTGCGGCGATCCAGCAGGTGATTTCGATGCCAGTCTAACCCTTTGTTTGAACTACCCCTCTCTTCCCTCTTCGAATAGTCCGCCACCAAATCAAGACCACGGCGCCCCTCTTCGAGAAGCGGGCGGCCCTCGTCGCCAAGATTCCCAACTTCTGGCCCCTCGTCATCGAGCAGGCCCCGCCCGGCGTCGACGAGCACATCCAGCCCTCGGACGCGGGGCTCCTCCTCATGGCGCTGACGGACCTCGAGGTCACGCACTTTGAGCTCGACGACCCCGAGGGCGACCCGCGGTCCATCTCCATCAAGTGGACGTTTGGCGACAACGACTACTTCGAGGACAAGGTGCTCGAGAAGAAATTCTGGTACCGCCGCGCCGACAAGGGCGACTGGGCGGGCCTGGTGAGCGAGCCCGTCGACATCAAGTGGAAGGCGGGCCAGGACCTCACCCAGGGTCTGCTGGCCCAGGCCGCCAAGGTGTTCCGCGAGGAGCAGCGCCTCGCCCGGGAGGGTAAAAGTGACGGGCTGGACCGCGGACCGCAAGGCGCTCAAGGAAAGTTTGAGAGCATCGGCCTCGGCGGCATCAGCTTCTTTGCCTGGTTCGGCTACGTCGGTCGTCGCGTCACGGCCGAGGAGAGCAAGCAGGCCCTCAAGGACGAGCAGGAGATTAAGAAGCTTCGCCAGGAGGGCAAGGAGCCTCCCGAGGAAGAGCCCGAGGAGGGCGAGGACGAGGACGACGAGATGGCTATTGAGGAGGATTTGGAGATTTTCCCCGAGGGTGATGATCTCGCCGTGTCCATCTCGGAGGAGCTGTGGCCCGATGCCATCAAGTACTTTAGTAAGCCTAGCCCTCCCCTGTTGTTCCCTAACCCTCTCGGCCATGTTTCCCTCTAGACCCTCTTCGATTTCGTTTCCCCTATTCCGGCGTGTCCCTTTCCCCGGTTCCCGTGTCCCACCTTCCGTAACCCCTTCTCGGACTAACAACCCCACTGCAGCCAATGCTCAGGAAGAGGATGGCCTCAGCGATATCAACTTTGAGTCGGATGACGAAGACGATGAGGATGACGAAGAAGCTGCGGGATCACCACCCCCAACAAGAAGAGGAAGAAGGCGTGAACAAATTGATCGACTTCGTTGTACATGGTGAATGAATCGGTCGGGGGTATTGGATAGATGAAAAAGGATCAAAGGATGAAAAAAATATGGCGCCGTGGAAGAAGAAGAAAATGAGCAAACGAGCTATTCGTGATGAAAAGAAGACTGGAGAGATAATATGGGGCAACGTTCAAGTTGCAATGTTGATTATCCCGTGGTTATTTCTAGTAGCCACTTTCTAGGTTTCTCTTTAAAAGATTGATCTGTTCGAGAGAGAGCATTTCTCATGAATACCTCGAGAACACAAGGCGATGGGACTGTTTTTAATAATAGACACGATCTCTTATGCGGCTCTTTTCCATTGCGTTGCAACCAACATAAAACCTTGGTTTAGCAGCTTGTCTTCATCTTGGTTCCTGGTTCTTGGTTCTTGGTTCTTGGCCCTCTCCGCATTCTACCTTGCCATTAGTTCCCTTTTCAGCGTTGGCAATTGATTCGCAAAGGGGGCCCATTGCATGCAGAACAAGCACGAGTACATGTAGATGGCAGGATCGAGTAGATGGCCTGGTTCCCAGTTTTATTCTTGAACTCCCCCGTGGCGAGGATTTACCGTGAGCCAATAAGACCGGCCTGGAATGTGATTTCGAAGCGAACGATAAACCATCTCTGGATCCATCTGATGATGAATTTAGAGTTGTCTCCGTTCCGATGACGGCTTTGGCATGTCAGATCGGGCGAACACTGCGGGACATGCTCAGCGCTGCCGGCACAGTGGACCCGAGCTCGACGTCATCTCGTCATCTCGTCACCCCCGCAGTGTTGGGGTTTGTGGTCTGGGTCCCCTAAGCAACAATCACCCCAACATAAGGTGAATATAATTCAATGGTAGAGCAACTGTATGTGGCGCCGCTTTGCAAAACCTATCGAATTGTGTCAAATGTTCTTTTCGAGCGCGGTACGCTGCCCGGCCGCTCCGTTCCATGAGATGGATTTGATCCATGTCCGTCGTCCCACAAAGGGACAACCCCCAAGCCCACAAGCGTGAGCCGCCCCGAGACGTCGTCGGCAAAAACTTCACGCTGCAAAGTACACGTGAAGCGGCTCGGAGTTTCCCGCGACATGCTTGTTTCGAGAAGCCAGAATTTTGCCCTGAGGGTGTGGCGGTGGTGGTGGGTTGGCAGGCGGCTGCATGTGCGTTTGTTGGTTTCGTAGGCCACTGCACCTTTTGATTGATTTTAATCCGATGAGAAGGAGCCGCGAACGGTGTCAACGAACATTTTCTTTGTTTTTATTCCATTTGTCAGCTAAAGCGTCTCTCGCAAAACCCCCAAGATCGCTCCACGTCCACGTCGTCTTGACCGGTGAGCCCGGAGGTACTTTTTAAGAGGAGGGGAGAAGCTTACGCTACTAGACTAGCATCGTGTATATATAGAATGGAGATCAATTGATGTCATATCCCCAGATCCATCTCCATGTCTCCGTGTGATCCACTTTGAACAACCACCATCACCTCATTCTCTCCCTCTCCCTCTCTCTGTGTCCCAACGATAATAGAAGAAAGAAACAACAACATTAGGAGCCAATCAATTTCAGGGCTCCTGCGACCTGCCTCGGAGAGTATCCCCGTATCCCACATCAATGCGCCGAGCAATGACCAAGGTCATCGGTGTTCCCCTGCGCGCTGCCCCGGTGGCGAGGGCTCCTCGGACACCCGCCCGCACCTCGATGCGCAACGGCGCAGCTCTTCCACCGCAGCCACCGCGGCCACTGCGTTCCACGTCCACGTCGGCGCCGAGAACACGGGCCTGCTCAAGGTGCCGCAGACGGCCGACGTCGCGCGCAAGGTGACGGAGCTGTTGCAAAAGGACATTGATGTAAGTGCTTACGCCGACGAGACTGGATGATTGAAAAGGAAGAAGAAGAAAGAAAAAAGAAGATAGGAGCTAATGCATGATGCGCGGGCAAACAGACACACCATTGCTTCTTTAACAATGATGGATTTCACAACCATGTAAGTTGAACCCTCCCTTGGCCTTTGTTCTTATAAAATTCACACGCTTGTATCCACGTTTAGATCGTCCACCACATGCTCAGCCTCTACGGCACGGGCGCCGCCGCCGCCGACATCCAATTCGCCTACGACCAGAACAAGACGTACCAGCGTCCGCTGAGCCGCCCCCACGACCACATCGCCGAGCACCTGGCGTCGTGGCCCGAGGCCCTCAAGTACATGGGCAGCCCCAAGTACTACCCGGACCTGTTTGTCTATTTCCGCGGCGAGATGGACGAGCTGGGCTGGCAGGAGGCGCTGAAGAAGCACTTGTTTGCCGGTACTGAGCGGAGCGACGATATGCTCCAGCGCATGTTTTCCGGTACGCCAGTCGAATTTCAACTTGTCCCAAAGTCACGCATACACACACGTCCATATATCTGCATGGATAGAAGAAGAGCAGTATCCTAACACTAGACACATTTAGGCCTCCTCCACCCCCTCATCCAGCTCATGTACGGCCTCGAATGGGCCCAACCCGCCATCCTCGCCTCCGCCCTCGCCCAAGCCGCCATCCACAAGAACCGCCTCGGCCCCTTCCTCGCCCGCGCCGAAAGGAGGCCGCCGCCGCCGACCTCGACGCCGCCAGCCCCATGGGCGAGATCCTCGATCTGTTCGCGGCCGCGGAGCGGACCCCGCGCTGCGACGGCACGTGGCCGAGGGCGAGCCTAGCAACACCACGCGGCTCACGCGCGACGGCATCGAGGACTCGGCGCCCTTTGTCGCCCGCGTCCGCATCGCCGAGGACGAGCTCGAGGAGAGGACGGCGGAGATGATGCAGGCTGCGCTGTGGCTGGCGGCGGCGGCGACGATGCACCCGCCGAATGTGCCGAGATTTGATTTTTCCTCATGTGAGTCGGACACACGCTTACACCTTTCTCTCTTTCTCTCTCTCCCTCTCTCTCTCTCTCCCTCTCTCTCTCCCTCTCTCTCTCTCTCCCTCTCTCTCTCCCTCTCTCTCTCTCTCCCTCTTTTACTTTTTCTTTTCTAAATACGGCAAAGAGAAGAGAAAGAAAAGAGAAAGAGAAGAGAAAGAGAAGAGAAAGAGAAAAAGAAAAACCCATGTTCAGTGCTGACGCAGCTGTGGTGATCATCAAAAAGTCACCACATCAACCTGGCGCCCATCTTCCTCACCATCAACGCCCAGCCGTGGATCCCCACAGCCCAAAAGATTCGCATCCTCGAGTGGAAGATTCGCATCAACTTGATCAACTGGCTCGCCGTCGGAGCGCCGCCTCAAGACTTTTACAAGGCGCTGGACTACGGCCCCGAGAACCGCAGCCCCGCGATGAGTCCCGAAGGTGAGCTTTTTCTCTCCCTCTTCTGAGTTTCTAGTCTTTTCAGTGGGCTTTTTACGTCCAAGCAACTACACAGAGGGGGGCGAGTATGATAACTGACAAAACCAACCCCGTTCGCGGTCTAGAACTCCTTCCCAAATTCTTCCGCGTCGACGACGACGGCCACACCATCAAGCTCGTCCGCGCCACCCTCTTGTGCCGTGAACAGCTGCGCAAGTACGCCGATAAACCCTGGGTCCGCATCCAGGGCGACGACCGGTGGTTGAGGCTGGCCCACCTTTGGTTGATGCCACCGTGGACCCCGAGGGAGATAGGTGGGTGCGCGACGCCGGGTTTGATTCCGCATGGGAGGTAAGTGTCTTTCGCATATTCTTGTCCTTGTGGATTCTGGGTATCAAGGACGGATAAGAAAAACAGGCTAACGTCGAATGTCTCTCTTTTTACTTGCTTTGGAATAGAATATCCCCAAGCTTCAAGAAGGCAGGCTGTAGGGGAGTGGAGAGACATATGCAAAGATATTGTATAGGGACAGTGGATTTTTGATTGTAATCTCGAATTCTTTTGGACTCTCAGAACTCCCCAGATTGCAAATATCGATAATGATGAAACGTACAAAAGTCAAAGCCGTAGACTATGCAATGAGAAAAAGAAAAACCAAGGGACAACCCGGGTAAAGAAAAAAAAAAAAAAAAGGGTATTATGCCCGATTTCTTACTCTAGTCCCAACCACTCCTCCACATCCGACCCATCCTCGCTTTCCTCGCCACCCGCACCTCCCATAGACACGGCCCCTTTTGTCCCCGGGCCGTCGTCGCTCGAGAACCAGTCGAGGGCCTTGGCCTCGGACCCGCGGTCCTTGACGCCCTGACCGACGAGGTAATCGACCATGTACACGTTGTCGGTAGCGAGCCGCCGAATCTCGTCCCGCATGCGAGCGACGGCGCGAGCCACGACGCGCAGCTCCACGTCGACCTTGGCGCGGTTGGCCGCGAGCCAGGCGCCGTGCTTGTCGACGAGCGCCTTGATCCAGAGGAGGCAAAACTCGACGTGCGGCGAGGACTCGGTCTGGGCGGCCACGAAGCGGAGCAAGCGCGCGACGTAGACGGCGGGCACGTTGCGCACCACGAGGGCGATGTCGGTGTGGGGCACCGAGAGGAAGACCTGCTTAACGAGGCTGGCCTCGTTGAGGCGAAACGCCATGACGAGGGCCTTGAGGTAGTCGCGCTCGGTGTGGAGCACCGCCAGCGTCGACGCCGGCGTGATTTCCATGTTGAGGTCGAACGGGTCGAACTGCAGGTGGTTGTCCAGGCTGTAGATGAGCAGGCCCTCGGTGGACGCCGCGCAAAGGACGTGCCCGCGGGCGAGAACCCCAGCCCCGTGACGCGCACGTCCGGCCGCCGCTGCCGCGCCGAAGGGTCGCCCCGCTTCGAGCCCGGCAGCGCGGCCTCCATGCGGGCTTCCCGGTCCGAGACGTCCTCGTCGTCAATCAGGTCCGCGGCGCCGGCCTCGGTGAGGGCCTTGCTGTTGAGGAACTCTTGCGTGCCCGACAGCGAGAGGTTGACGCTGACGGTGAATTTCTTGAGCAGGACCATGGAGTGCACCGAGTACAGGCAAATGTACTTGCTGTTGCCCCCGCGAGGAGGCAGCTCCCGTCCGTGCTGTACCGGATCGTCTGGAAGCTCTTGGAGCCCGCCGCGTTGGCCGCCGTGCGCCGGTCCGTCGACTTGCGCCCGCCCGACATGTCTCTCCGCCCGTCCAGCCCGGCCTGCTGCTCCGCGTCCTTGATGTCCCAAAACGTGAGCTGGCCGTCGAGCGTCGACACGGCGAGCTGCTGCGAGTCGGGCCGGATCGCCACGTCCAGCACGTCCGCCTGGAGCTGCAGCGGTTCGCTCGTCTGCGTCCGGTTGAACACGGACCAGATGCGCGCCGTGCGGTCCCAGCTGCCGCTCACCAGGGCGTCGCCGTCCGGCGCAAAGGCGAGCGAGGACACGGGGCCTTCGTGGCCCGAGAGGCGGTCGAGGAGCTGGCCCGTCTGCACGCTCCAGATGTGGATGTCGAAGGAGTCGAGGGAGCCCGCGGCCACGACTTCGCCGCTCGGGTCCACGGCCATGCAGGAAAAGGACAGGCGCGTGGGGGCGGTAAAGGTCCTAAAGTTCCTGTACCGGATGAGATCCCACGCGCGGATGGACCCGTCTAGGCTGGCGGTGAAGAGGACGTTGCCCTTCTTGGCGAACTCGCAGGCCGTCACGCCGCTCGAGTGCTCGGTAAAGGTGACGATGCAGAACCCCGAGTCAATGTCCCACACCTTGATCTTGCCGTCGTCCGCCGCGGTCACGATGCGCTGGCCGTCGGGCGAGTAGACGAGCGAGTTCATCGAGTCAAAGTGGCCCTGCTGCTTTAGGATATACGACTCGGACTGCCACTCCCACACGAGAAGCTGGCCGAGCCTCGAGGCGCCAAACGCGAGCCACTCGCCCGTCTTGTTGATTGTGACGAAGTCGATGTTGTTCTGGGAGATGCTGAGGGTGTGAATCATGTTGAAGTCGGGCATCTCGTAGAGCCCAAAGATGCCGTTGGAGAAGCCCGCCACCAGCAAGTTTGTAGCGGGGTGGAACGTCGCGCACCGTACGTGCGCGCTGCCCTGCATAAAGTAGTGCCGGTTTACTATCCTCCACCGGGCATCGAATTCCTCGTTGTCGTCGTCGCCGTCGTCCATCTCGTCCTCGTTCTTGGGGCGGCCGGTGTACTGCCAGGTGAAGATGGCGCCGTCCTTGCTCACGGTGTAAATGGTCTCTTGGTCCTCCGAGAACCAGGTGCCAATGAGCCCTTGCTTGTGCCCGCCGAGGACCGTGGGCGTGAAGCCCTCTTCGGCTTCGACGCTCCATATCCTCGCGGTCAAGTCCTTGGACGAGCTCAGGAAGAAGCGCGAGTCGCTGGACCATTCTATGTGCCGGACCTCGTCAAAGTGCTGGGTGTGGGTGTGGTGTTTTACAAACGGGGCGAACTCGAGCTCCCCGTCCGAGTTGGCGTCCGGAGTCGACGGCACGTGCCAGACCTCGATCTTGCGCTGGAGCCCGACGACAAAGTAGCGGCCGCATGGCGAGAAGGACAGCGCCGTGATGGCCGACTTGAAGGAGAAGTTGTAGATGGGGATGCGCCGGGGCACATTCGTCAGGATTGCGTGGCCATCTTCGTCGATGGAGAGGAGGAGGTTTCCCTGGGGGCTCAGGCCTATCCTCGCGATATTCTTTCGGTGCGCAAACGGGAATGTGTAGGATTTGTTGCTACGAGTCAACTAAATTAGCACGCTTTCGACTTGTATATTCCGCGAGCCGTGGGGGAGTTTTTCTAGGAGCTATTAGGATATGGTAGTGTGCGCATACTCGACGAGATTGAAGACTGTGACTCTGTTGCCGACGGGTGAAAAGAGGTGGGTTCCTTCTGGGTCGAAGAGAAGGTTTCCCTGGCAGTAAACGGTGCCGAGGAGGTTGGAAAACTGCAGGCGAAGAAGAGAATCACTTGGTTTTAGCAAAACGCAAAATCAAAGAAAACCTCCAAAATTCAAAACAGAACCGGGAAAGAGAGATCAAAAGTGGATTAAACACATACCTTGAAATTGGTCTTCATCCTTGGCGAAAAACGGCGTTCCAACCTGTGTTACGCTGCTTCTTTGTTGGCTGCAGATGGAAGCATCTCGAGAGACAACTTTTTTCCCTCGGCCGCCACTATTTTTTTGCGATTCTGTTATCGATTGCGAACCTCAAGACCCACCCTGCCACCCAAACCGCCAGCCACATGTGGGGTGAGAGAGCAAGTGCTCGTTGTGGCAGTGTGGCTAGACAGGGAGGGGAGCAAGGGGAGGCATTATGGGCGGGTTTTTGTTGATGCAAGGGTGAATGTGGCTGAACTCTCGGACCATGGTCCAAGCGGCGGTGGCCCGGGTAGTCTTCGGCAAATAACGCTCTCTGCGCTCAGATTTGCTTGTGGACATTGGGATCAATTGATGTGGACTTCGTTGCACAGGTCGCTCTAATCACTCAATTTAAACATCCGCCCTAATTAGGGGTACTTCTGCGCAATCCGCCCAGCAAGTACCGTGGCCACAGTGAACTGCTTGATCCCACTGCCGTTTCGCCCGCAGTTGATCCGCCCCCCTCAAATATTATGGACTGGCCAGCCCGGGTGCGGTGTGTGCCTGTCGCTGCCCCTGAAACCTCCAGACCCTCGTGGCATCATGGCTATTGTGCCCTACCGCTCTCTAGATTGATCTTCAGTGCTGTGCTGTTTGTGAAATGTTATGCGCCCCGGAATGGGGCTCTCTCGTACACGTGTACATGGGGAACATTGAATTAATTGATCGATGGCATCAATTGATCTGAATCAATCCTTCTCAGTCGGCCACTGAACCAATGGACCAATGGGGCGCTGGGTTCGTTGGGCAGATGTCCGTCCTGTCTGGCCCCATCAACTGTACTCACGTACTCACCTTTGAGCTCTGACAGGACCCCCAGACCAGGGGTTGGGATTGGCACGGCGTTGAGGTGGTCGGCCCAACCAGCAATCAAATCCAACCCGCCCCCCATGTTCCCCGGCCAATTGATTTTTGCAACGAAAGGAAATTTCGCCGTGTTTCCCCTGAAAGCACAGGCTCCGCTTCCCAATATCTCCATCTCCAAACTCTCCTGTTCAACGGTCCCCTCCCGTCCATTGAAACAAAACTCATCCCCCAAACAGCTCTTAATCGAAGCTGCGCCTCTGCACCGGTTTGACCGCAAACAATTTTTACTTCTTGATACCCTTTCCGACTGTTGCGTTCGCCATCACCGACAAAAACCTCCCTTGTCCGCCCGCCCCTCCCCCTGACTACCTGTTCAAAATGGCCCCGTCCGTTGCCGAGAGTGCCTCGCCGATTGGCATTGCCAATCTCCCTAACCAGCGACACAAGATCGTTGCGAAGCGTGGTGCTGCCTTTACTATTATGGTGCGTGATCCTCAAGCCTTGCCCATGGCAGGCAGGTGGCCTCGTCTTCTGGATTGTATACTGATCTGTGATGTTTGTGCGTCAATAGGTTGCTGGCGAGTCTGGCTTGGGAAAGACCACCTTCATCAACACCCTCTTCTCCACCACCATCAAGAACTATGCCGACCACAAGCGCCGTCACCAGAAGCAGGTCGACAAGACTGTAGAGATTGAGATCACCAAGGCCGAGTTGGAGGAGAAGTTCTTCAAGGGTATGCATCCCCTCATATTCTCCCAAACTCCGCACTCACCTCCTTTTTCGCTTTGCGCTTCCCTCTCCCTGCCCCTTTCCATAACCTTTGCGTCGCATGTCGGTGCCGGCGACCGCACCGTCTCTTGTGTTAACCTCACTAACTTACTGGCTACAGTCCGTCTCACCGTCATTGACACCCCTGGCTTTGGCGACTATGTCAACAACCGCGACTCGTGGATGCCCATCATCGAGTTCCTTGATGACCAGCACGAGTCCTACATGTTGCAGGAGCAGCAGCCCCGCCGCCAGGACAAGATCGATCTCCGTGTCCATGCCTGCCTCTACTTCATCCGCCCTACCGGCCACACCCTCAAGCCTCTCGACATCGAGGTCATGAAGCGACTCTGCTCCAGGGTCAACCTCATTCCCGTCATCGCCAAGGCTGATACCCTCAGCCCTGCCGACCTTGCCAAGTTCAAGCAGAGGGTATGTTGTGAACGATCAATGCTACACCCCCTTTTATTCTGCGCAACGGGGGTATCCGGGGAACTTTGACTGACTTTCACATCGTTTTTCGTCTCTCTAGGTCCGTGCCGTCATCGAGGCTCAGAGCATCAAGATTTACCAGCCCCCATCGAGGAGGATGATGATGCCGCCGCCCAGCACGCCCGCAGCCTCATGGCCGCCATGCCTTTCGCCGTCATTGGCTCCGAGAAGGATGTCAAGACGAGCGACGGCCGCATCGTCAAGGGTCGCCAGTACTCTTGGGGTGTTGCCGAGGTCGAGAACGAGGACCACTGCGACTTCAAGAAGCTCCGCTCTATCCTCATCCGAACCCACATGCTTGACCTCATCCACACCACCGAGGAGCTGCACTACGAGGCCTACCGTGCCCAGCAAATGGAGACCCGCAAGTTTGGCGAGGCCCGTCCCCGGAAGCTCGACAACCCCAAGTTCAAGGAGGAGGAGGAGAGCCTCAGGAAGCGCTTTACCGAGCAGGTCAAGATCGAGGAGCAGCGATTCCGCCAGTGGGAGCAGAAGCTCATCGCCGAGCGCGACCGCCTCAACAAGGATCTCGAGCAGACCCACGCCCAGATCAAGCAGCTCGAGGTCGAGCTCGAGCAAATGCAGGGCAGCGCCGTCCGCAGCCACGGTCGCCGTTAAACCTTGTCCCGTCCCGTCTCGTTTCGGTTCCACGCACTGCTATCCACATCGCCATGCCTATACCTGGAACGAGACGTCGCTGCCTCTTTGCTTCGCAGCCTCATCTTGCCTCTCTCTCTCCCTTGCACCGGGTACTCGTTCTCATCAACACCCCCGTTTTAATCTGTGTTTAAGCCCTTATCGGCGCGGGGGCTTGCAGGGTCAACCTACGTTTTCCAATATACATAAAGCGTGAATTGCTCTTTCTTGATTACCAAAAAAGGACGAATGGTTCGCCAGAGGTCCCGGTCGTTGCGCTCCCGTCGTCCTCGCTCCCTGGTAAAGAGTGCCTACGACTTGGCCTACGTTTCCCTGCAAGTTTGGCGACGAATTCGAATAATGTTTCGGGGTCTCTAGGTTGTCGTTGAGCAAAAATTTCCTGTCCCTCTTGGTTCTTTCTTCTTCTTTTCCTTGACAGGACATGGAATCGGTCGTCGAGGAGGCGAGGGCCGGGCGCTGGTAGAGGGGATTGTTTTGCTTGCTGTGCTCTTTTATTCCGCCCCGATTCCCCCTTTTACTCTATTGCTTCAAGAGAGGCCTGTTCGACGTTTCTTGTGCCTTTTCTCAACCAAAACGCCATCGTGTCAACCTCTTCTATTTTTATTATTATTATTTTGCCCTGCGTTCCCAGGTAGTTAACGTTTAGCTCTGATGTAATTCAGCCTACACCCTTTCATGATACCAGTTAAATGAGAGAGTTTTGACCCTTTATCTTTTGGCTTGTTCCTTTTTCTCGTGTCCTCGACCCCCTTAATCTTTGATGCATTTGACTAGGCTCCAAAACCGGGGCTGCGGGTAGAATGAATGTTTTGTTCTATTGCAAGTGTATCCATGCTGAGAGTCCTTGTGAACAGAGGAAGAATTTCACCTAGTTCATGTCACTCGTCGTCTCCCCTGCTTTGGACAAAGAGTTAAAGAAAATACGTCATGCCCATGCCACCCAGCCTCGAATCGAAGCCCTCCTAACCCGCCCGGAAGACGAGAAGCAAAAGTAGAGAAACAGAAAAATAAACCGCAAGTATGTTTGAGGGGGCGTGATGGCAGCCTCACCCTTCCTGAAAGCCAACATTATGTAAACCCAAACGCCCTTGTACGCCGTGCATAGTATGAATGCAAAAACCCCTCTCCCTAGTAAACGAATTTAAACAAGAATGGATAAACAAGGGGTGAGACACGTGGGAGCCTAAAGAAATCGAGGTCGACCCAATGAGCGAGGGCCCTCTCGCCTCTTTTTTTTTTCTTTTTCACTTCCATCCTGTTTTCCCTCCCTTTTACACTGCATCGATGGTGGCTCTGGTAGCGAGCTGCTCGTTCTTATTGCCCAGCCTTGATATTTGGAGAAAGGTGTCGACGCCGTAGCCTTCGAGGCTGTGCAACTCGAGGCTGCCGGCCCAGTACTCGGCGTAGACCCTGCTGAGGGGTAGGCCCATGCCGAGCTGGAGGTTGGGGGACGCTGGGAAAGGGAGGAGAGGGAGGAGGTGGTGGGAGGGTCGTAGCTCGGGGTGCGCAGGTCGGCGCGGCCAATCTCGTCGCGGATGTGGAGCTCCTGCATGGTGGCGGCCATCTTGGGGACCTGGCCGAGGTTCTCGAGGAGCTTTTGGCCGCGGGGCCCTTGCTAAAGGACCAGATGTGGGGAGGATGTCGCGGGGCACGCCGCCGCCGCGGTCGGAGATGCGGATGATGATGAGCTGGGGGACTCGCAAATGGTGACCTCAATGGGGGCACGGGCGCGGGGGTGGGGGCGGGGGCGGAGTCGGCGCCGGGCTTGGCGGCCGCGCCCTCGCGGATCTGGCGCTCGATGACGGCCTGCACCGAGTTGCGGAGGAGCTCGCCGACAATGTACTCGAGGTGGCTGAGGATGTAGGGGAAGCTGGCGGAGAGGTGGCCCTCGACGTGGATGTCGGGGACCTGGACCTCGGGCCCGTAGGTGGCGCGGGCGAGGGCCTGGACGGCGCGGCCGCAGCGGTCGATGACGTCTTTGGCGACGCACTTGATGAAGACTTCGCCGATGAAGTCGGCTTCGGAGAGCTTGGCGCCGGGGAGAACCAGGGGAGTTGTATGTTTCGGTGAGGGCGAGGTGCTGCTCGGCGATGACGCGACGTGATATCCTCTATGAGAAAGAAAAGAAAGAAAGGATGTCATGTGGTTAGTGAGACGAGCTTTGGAAAGCAGATGAGGAAGAGCAAGAAACCGAGGTGTCTATGGGGGACTGTGTAGAGAAGGAAAGGAGGGGATAGTTTGGTAGAGAGTGTGTTTACGCACAGATCTGAGAATGGTATTCATGAACTTGTCCAAAGATTGTTCGTCCATGAGGTCACTGCACTCTATTATTCCCATGGCGAGCTTAGGGATGACGGTGAGGTGGGCTTGGAGGTTCTTGCTTATGGTCTTGCAAAACTCGTCGTTCTCCTCGAGGGTGTTGATCTCCTTGATCTTTCGGAAGGAATCGAAGGCGTTGTAATATAGGTTATACACGTCGCTGATGTGGGGGTTCTTGACCACGGCGTACGGCAAGTGTTGCATATCGCGGATTCGGTGAGCGATTCTGGTACGTCGAGAAGCTAGAGTTAGCCAGAGTCCTTCCTCGGGTTTGCCAGTGCTAGGAAGGGGGTAGGAAGAGATTTTGTTTGCGCACCTGATGGGGAGCTCTGTCCGGACGTAGTTGGCCGAATTTATGAGGCGGGACTCGGTCAGGGAGCGGCCAAAGACCATGAGCTGTCGGAGACTGATGGGACGGGCCTCCTTGGCAACCCATCTACGAGGAGGACGAGAACCGTTAGCATTTGCGGGGCAACGCGCCAGAGTCACTGCCAAGGCTATCGTTTGTCGAGGCTGTCGGGGCTGGCTCCAAGCCAAGGTGCAGGAGGAGGGGGTTTGAAGGAGGGGCTAAGCAACATACTCGTCGAGCACGGAAACGGGCCGCCACGCCGCCGTAGTGTGTGAACGGTCTCTTCGATATAGCGGCCGACGGGGTAGTTGGAGGGTGTGAGAGCTCGCGGGCGAGACGGCGAGGGCGGTAGAGCATGTTATACGACGAGCTGTGACAGCTCGCCGGACCGCGACGGGAGGCATTCTTCTGACGTTTCCATGCAGCGACACGCAGGAAAAGGAGTAATAAGAGATTGGTTTGGTCCGTTTTCCCTTTATTCTATTCTTCTTCTCCCACGAGGCCTTGCAGTGGGAGTTCGAGGAGGGTCGGGGTCTAGGGTGTGGAGAGGTGATGGTTGAAGGGAGGGGCGTATTATGGCTCGGATCGAGGTTCTTTGTTCTCTGCTCTTTTTCTGGGGCGAGGGTGGAACCGGGTGGGCTGAATCACGTCGTTTAAAAATTTTAGGGGATAGTAATGTCAAGTTGCCAATGCTAGGCTGGCTATGGGCTCCAAAATTGTTGGACGTTACTGGCGGATGCATTGTCTTCAATGACTGGGGAACAACCGGCCGGATCATTAAAGCCTAGTTTGTGATTGATTGAAGGCACATGCAGGATTGCCGTGTTGGTGGCCTGGAAGGGAAGAGACCCAGCAGAATCCTTTTGCGCTAAAGCATCGCCCCAGTCCCAGCGTAGGCCCAGTGTGGGGTTGAGTCAACGTCCAAAAGCAACAGGTCCGGTCGACCTGGGAGGATGCAAACAAGCGCCCTAACAATGGACTTCACTGAATCCAATTGATCTTGTATCAAACACTAACCACATAATGGCTTGGTAATAATGGGTTGATCAGAGGACTAGCGTTATCGGCACCGAGAGCACCTCTTTCTGGCATCTATTGCAGCGGACGAGCCTGTCAGCCTGTATAGAGGCAAGCTCCACAAAAGCCAAACTTCGCTGAGTAGGCCAGAAAACCGTCCCAAACTTGCCAGCCAAGACAGGCAAGACAGGATAGGTTTTGGTACAAATAGAAATCGGTCGTTGGACGCGCTTGACGGGGCCCTGCTTCCGATGAGCTGGCTTCCCAACTACCCTCAAGATGGGCTTCATTCTGGCTTCGAGGACTCGTCAGCCACCATCCACTCCACTCCCCACCTCTCCGCCTACGGCCTATGACTAAACAACAGTATGGAGAGTCATCGCCCCGAATACATAATAGAGCGTGCGACGGAAGAATTCACATGTTCCCCGTTACATTCCGAGCTTTCGGCCAAAATCATCAACCATGATCCCGCTCAAAGACTGACAACTTGCGAACCTTGTGAAGATGGGCAGTCTCAGGCCGGGGCCGTGGGCTAGATTATGTGGTTGGTGCCATTCAGCTTAGACTATGTAGGCTGCTTCGTGACAATAAACTCATTGTTGTTTCCCGAGGGAAAGAAAACACCGAGGCCTTGTATGATTTGAGAGAGTTCGAGGCCTTTTGTACACACCGCACTCGGCGCGTCTGCTGGTATTATGCCATGGCCAAATCGAGGGCAACTGGCAACTTGAGGCGTAGGTGGGTGAGAGCAGGCAGCTATTGAGCAGGATGAAGATTGGCGCGTTGAAGATGAAGGGTGATTTGCTTGGTAGCTTGGTAGCTAGCGCCGAGGTTCATTCTCCGGAGGCGAGGCAAGTTTACGGCATCGGTTACATCACAGACTCTTGTTTGCTGAGGGCGAGTCATTGGCTGATTGCACGGATAGGGCCAGGGAGAGGAAAGCTTGATATCCCGCCAAGCAGGAGTCTCCCTTGGTCGTTAGAACGGGCCGCGAACTTTGGAAGCTCCGTTCGTGATTCTACGTAAGCCTCATTCCGCTCGTTGGATTGTGCTCTTCGCGTTCAACATGGTTGGGTAGCTTCAATAACACTGGAATGCATACGTTGCCTGTAGGGCGCAAGAAGACGAGGCGTTCGAGTGTACGTGCATCCACTGTGGGTGGGGAATGAATGCACTGGCTCAGCGACACAGGCGAGCGACACCAATCCAGTCGAGCTATCACCAGGTTCAATGATCTCTGCGCTTGCTTGGGCAGGGAGAGAGAGAGCCCTTGAGCCCCGGTCAGATCACTGCCAATGCTTTCGATGCTCGCCCGCGACTTGGCAAGCCCTCGCCTCTCTGTGCTCGCTGCCAAGTATGAACCTGCTGCTGCGGACCCGCGTGGATTGTGACGAGAGGACGAGGAACAAGGGGACGGACCCAAGACCAGCCAGCCATAGCCACTTTGCCACACTTCCCCGCCTGTCCAAGTCACAGTGCGTCTGGTTTCTTGTGCCCTTGACCTGCCTTGCCAGTGTCCACTACATCGATCCAACCACTGCACTCCTGCGACGCTCGAGGTAGTGGTAGTGTACGTGTGTACCTCATGCCTGGTGGCTCTTACTTCTGTTTTGGGGTACAGCAGTAAAAATCGCTGGTGCTTGCTCCTGCTGTGTCCTCCCCATCAACTCGCACCAAAAAAAAAAAACTCCCCCGCCTTCCCACTCCAACAAAAACAACCTTCCTGCAAACCTCCAAAAGTGAGAGCAGGTGGGACACTGACATCAATCCATTATCACTACAAACCCGTCGTCCCATTGCCTGCCATTGTCAAGCTAGATTTTTTGACCCTTTCCACTCCACTCGGCTCACCATAGCAAGCCCAAAGGACGATTCGTTTGCTCCCTCCTCTCGCTTCCTTCTCCTTGAATTGGTTTTTCCCTTCCCCCTGCTCCTTCCACTTCCTCTACTCCTCGCTTCGATGGTGACAATCCACAATGGTAAGGCCTGACCTTCACGCTCCCCGATGACCTCAATATTCTCCTCCCCCGCCTTGCCACACTGATCGCTGCCGCCACTATTACCACCACCGCTGCCACCACCAACACCACAGCCTAGCCATTTATTCGCCTCCCTTTGTAGTATTGTCAGATACAGATCAATTTTTAGACAATCCCATTTTCTTTCAAACGGAAGAGGGAGTCAGGCCGCTGCAACGGCTCCTTCTGGCTGCCGCCTGTCCCGGCTGTTTTCCCCCACCAAGGATGATTGGGAGCTCTTGATCTGCCTTGGTTGCCTGGTCGCTGACATCTGCTTCTCCTCAACACAGAGCTATAATCCGAACATTCAATCACCGAATGACATGATGATCGACTCGGACGACTACGTCGGCATCAACACGTCTGAGAAGGACGATGTCGCCATCATCAATACCGATATGCCCGACGCCGAGGCCGAGCAATTACATGATCTCCCCACCGCCGACGACTGTACGCCGCCCCTCCCCTCCCTACCCTCCGCGGCCAAGCTTTCGCATACCCCTTTCCCACGTCCCAGCATGTCATTCTACACGGAAACTAACGAGTGCACTTCCCTCTCGCAGATGAGGCTATGAAAGAGATTGTTCTCCCTCCCTCCCAGAGGAGCCTGCCATCATTGAGGAAGTCGTACATACCTGGTCCATAGAGTCATGGAATTCCATGTCAAGAAAAGAGCATGGTTCCATCTTCCAGGCCGGTGGTTATCCTTGGTACGTCCTCACTATACCGCGACCCCGGGCAGGCTCCTTTTTTGTCGTCTTGCACACCGTAGCAAACTCCCGAGCTTTCCGCGCCCCATGCCCGCACTCTTGGACTTGTTTCGTGGGGTCGTGGGGCTGCGGGATCGCGCATCGCGCATCGCCAGCGCCATAACCGGCCCCAAAACTAGATCCAAAGCCACAAAGCTAATCAAAGTCCCGATGTAGGCGCTTGCTCCTCTTCCCCTATGGTAACAATGTCGACCAGTGCTCCATATACGTCGAGCACGGCTTCCGCGCCTCGGACGTTCCCGAGAACTGGAGCTGCTGCGTTCAGTTTGCACTCGTTCTCTGGAACCCCAATGACCCCTCCTTGTACACTTTTCACCACGCGCATCACCGATTCACCAAGGAGGAGGGCGACTGGGGGTTCACACGCTTTGTCGAGCTGAGGAGAATGTTCAATAACCCCTGGGAGAGGGGATCCCGACCGCTTTGCGAGAATGACGCGGGCAACATCACGGTTTATCTGCGCGTTGTAGAAGACGAAACCGGCGTTCTATGGCACAACTTCAATAACTACGATTCCAAGAAAGAAACAGGTTACGTTGGCCTCAAGAACCAAGGCGCTACGTGTTACCTGAATTCTCTTCTCCAGTCATTGTACTTTACCAACGCTTTTCGCAAGGTATGCGTCGTCCCTAAGCATTTTCTCTCCTCTCTCACTCACCCCTAGTGACCCCCCTCCATCACTCTATATTTTGCTCCCCGCAGTGCTACCTACCTCCCCGCCCCCATCACAAGTGACCTATGGCACCCATGGCGTCGGACCGGAACCCTTTGTCGCGTCTTAGACAGTTTTTAATCTAGCCGATACAGGCCGTTTACGAGATTCCCACCGAGAACGACGCGAGCATGACCAACAGCGCATATACCCTACAACGCCTTTTCTACCAACTTCAGACCTCGGAGACCGCCGTTAGCACAAACGAGCTCACAAAATCTTTTGGATGGGAGACGAGACACATTTTTGAACAGCAAGACGTCCAGGAGCTCTCTCGCAAACTGATGGAGCGCATGGAGGAGAAGATGAAGGGGACAAAGGCCGAAAACATTCTACCTCAGCTTTTTAGCGGAAAGGTTAAGACGTATATTTCTTGCATCAACGTCGACTACGAATCCTCGAGAATCGAAGACTTTTGGGACATTCAACTAAACGTGAGCGGCAATAAAAACGTCCTGGAAAGTTTTCAGGATTACATCCAAGTAGAGAAGCTGGTTGGCGAGAACCAGTACTTTGCCGGGGAGCAGTTCAAGCTGCAAGACGCCAACAAGGGCGTCATCTTCAACTCTTTTCCCGAGGTGCTCCACCTCCAGCTCAAGCGCTTCGAGTACGATATTCAAAGAGACATGATGATGAAGGTGAACGCTCGCTACGAGTTCCCCGAGGTCTTTGACGCCGCCCCATATCTCGCCGAGGACTCGGACAAGTCGGAATCGTGGGAGTATCAGCTTCATGGCGTTCTCGTTCATAGCGGTGACCTCAACACGGGGCATTACTATGCCTTTTGAAGCCGAATAAGGACGGATGGTTCTATAGGTACGACGATGACAAGGTTACTCGAGCCACCATGCGGGAGGTGCTGGAGGAGAATTTTGGCGGCGAGGCACGACCCCAGCGTCGGCCGGGCGCACCCCCTTCAAAAGCGGACCCCCGTCCTCCGACAGAACAGCGCCTACATGTTGGTCTACATTCGCAAGTCTCGCCTTGATAAGATTTTGACGCCTTTAACTGAGGAAGATATACCAGGGCATCTAAGTACGCTGTCCCCCTTTGCCACCCGCCATCATGATGTCCCCCCTCTCCCCCAATTGCGGCTCATGTAACTTTTTTTTCTCTTTACTAACACGAATTTCCCTATTGCAGAAACACGCTTCGAAGAAGAAATTCGAACAAGAGAGCTTCTCCGCAAGAAGCAACAGGAAAAGCATCTGTACATCGATGTACAGGCCGTGACGCCAAAGACGTTCCGCGAGTACGGGAGCACCGACATTGCACAATTTGATGCGGACCCGAGGACAGACGAATCAGCTCCCCGGCTCCACCGTGTCAAGTTGGCAGTAAAGATGGATGAGCTCATAGTTCAACTAGCCGAAGACGTCAACGAGAGCCCGAAGAAGCTCCGCCTTTGGGTCATGGTCAACCGCCAGAACAAGACTGTGCGGCCGGATGCTCCGGTGCTAGACCTCGACCAAACTGTGGAAGAACTGTACCACAGAGTGAACCACCACAAAGATCGTGCTCTGCGTCTATGGGTTGAGGTTGCGGAGGAGGTAGACGCCGAAGGTAACGGCGTGTTCCCCGCTTATGCACTAAATGGCCCCGCTGGTAGCAGGAGCGAATCCATCCTACTCTTCCTCAAGTGCTTCGATTTGCAAACACAAACTCTTCGCGGTGTTGGCCAGATCTACATTGGAAGGGACAAGAAGGTCGATGATCTTACTCCCTACATCTTGAAGTTCATGGGCTGGGGAGACAAGGTACCTTCGGACGAGCGCATCTTTTTGTGGGAGGAAATTAAACCGACCATGATTGAGCCTTTAAAGCCAAAGCAATCACTCAAAGCAGCGGAGCTTCAGGATGGCGATATCATCTGCTTCCAGCGTCTCTTGGATCCTAAGAGCGATAAGGGCGTTCAGGAGCAGCGCAAACTCCAAGACGACCGCGTTACTGACCTGTGAGTAAATTGCCCAAAGAAGGATTAGGCTCGGTCCTACACTTCCTCTTTTTTTCCAACTCCCAATCTCGCTTTGGTTACTAACGTCTTGGAGTAGCCGTAAAAGGACGACTGACTTCTTCAATACTGCGTCGGAATACTATGATTTCCTTTGCAACAAGAAGACTGTCAAGTTTTGTCCTCACCCGAGCCGATGCGACGAGAATGAGTATCCCGCGTTCGAGCTGACAATGAGCTGCAAGGCCACCTACGACCTCGTGGCCGAACGAGTCGGTCTCATTCTCGGAGTGCAGCCTACGCACATCCGTTTCTGGACGGTCAATAGCACAACGAGCAACCCGAAGGCGACGGTGAAGCGTAACCCAAGCAACAATCTTTTGGCGATGCTCAACACGGCCACGTACTCGCAGCTGCAGCAGAATAACCGAATGGACGCTCTGTTCTTTGAGGTTCTAGAGATAAGCCTCGATGAGCTCGAGCACAAGAAGAGTGTAAAGGTGACCCTTTTGAGCGAGGGCACCTCGAAAGAGGTAAGACTAACCCATCACGGTTACGCCCACCTTGACCTTTTTCTATATTTAAGGATCAGCTAACGAGACGACTGTACTATTAGGAGCAGTTTGACTTATTGGTCAACAAGAACGGAACGGTTGATGACTTGGTGGAAGCGCTTGTCAAGAAGGCCAAAATCCCGGGCGAAGCAGAGGGCGGGCGCATCCGCATCTTTGAAACCTCGCAGCATCGATTCTTTAGAGAACTCAAGAGGGACTATCCCGTCATTAGTATGAACGACTATGCGCAAGTATATGCCGAGAGGGTTCCGGACGAGGAGCTCCAAGCTTCGGAAAACAGCCTCATCAGCGTTTTCCACTTCCACCCGGACCCCAGCCGAGCCCACAGTGTGCCGTTTAAGTTCCTGCTAATCGAGGTACGCAACAACATGCAACATCGCTTCTCCCTGATCGCGGCTTGTAGAAAAAGACTAACAAGGTGAATGCAATGCTACAGGGCGAAACGTTTTCGGAGACGAAAAAGAGGCTAGAGAGGCGAACCGGCATCAAAGGGAAACCATTTGAGAAGATTAGGTTCGCCGTCATTCGCCGCTCCCACTACAAGCCGCACTATCTGACGGACGGTATGTGGACCTTTTCTCAACCTCCCTCCTATACTCCTCCCTCTTTGTGCATCTAGAGGTTGCTAACAAGATGGGCGAATAGAGGACGTTTTGTGGGACATTGCATCGCCAGAGGATGACATGCTAGGGTTAGAACATGTCGATCGTACCCGGACGGCGAGGAATGGGCCAGACTTGTTCCTAAAGTAAACAAAGAAAGGGGAAGAGGGCAATCCCCTCCCCCTTTGCCCCCATCTTCTCTCCCCCAAACTCCTCAGTGCCCCATTACTCGGCACGCGCGGAAAAGACGTTTCTTTTTTCTTGATCTTTTTCTTTTCTCAAAAGAAAAAAAAAAGCTGGCGGAGTACCGGAGTATGATTGTCGGATGATGGTGGCCTCAAGGTCTAAGGCGCGCGGGAAGAAACAAGCAAGTGGATAGAGGCCGAGACAGGCACATGAATCGGCGCAAAGAAAGAAGTGCAGGCAAATATCTTGACTCTGGTATTTCTTGGTCATTTCCTTGATACCCTTTTATTTCATACTGCTCAACAGGAGCCTCCGGTATCTTCCTCGTACCTAGGTCTGCTACTTCCCCTCCCCACAAGGGGGTCAATGGGGACCTAGAGGAAGAAGCATGATGATGTTGACGACTGCGACGACGATGATGACGACAAACAGCCAAAGCGACCCTCTCGACCATCCCATAAAGTTACTCTTTTCTCGCTTGCGCTCCCTTCTCCCCTGTCCTTTTGGGCCCCATCTCTTCTTTCGCCGACACTTGATTGTGTTCGGTTTGTCGCATCTTCCTGGCATCTCAGATAAACCAGGATGCTGCCTCCCTCCTAACAAACCCTTGGCTCACTCCCGCTTAGCAGTCAACGGGTCCACGTCTTTTCATTTACGTTTATCCTTTGTTTTCCTTCTTCTTCTTATCTATTCTTTTTTGTTCCTTTCTTTCTTTTTGGCTTTCCCCACGGCAAGCGCGCGCGTCGCTCACGGTACATGTATCAAGGGAGTTGAGTCACGATCACCGAGATTCGGGAATTGGCGAGCAGGTCGGAAGACGGAGGTTAGGATTGGTCAAAGTACGATACATGTAGTCTTTACTCCGTTACCTCCAAAAAAATTACCTTTTTCTTCATCTTCTAAACCGCAAGCGTTCGCGCCTCCCAAGTTGAGAGTGGGTGTGTGATACGGCATATGGAACAAGCTGGCCCAAGAAGAAAGAGTGGGGGATTCCCAGGATTTCAGGAAGCCAAACATAGGTGATTCGCCGGTAGGGAATAGGATGGGGAGTGTTGAACCGCCACATGAGCACGAGATAGCGAAGCTGAAGTAAAGGAAAGGCTAAAACGTGAGTGAACTCGCATTAGGGAGGATAGAGCTCAAATCAAACAAGAATAGCACTGAACATCCTTCACTAAGTCAACAAAGTAACCCTCTCCGCAGGTATAATGATACACAAAAACTGCAAGCCCAGATATCAAAAATTGCGTCTCCATAAGTTTGGGGAAAGCCAAGAACACCCGTGTTGCTCCTTTCCCCGTCCGATTCCATCAGCGCCTCTCGGAAACCATTTTTTTCTTCTTTTTCCCCCCTCTTTGTTTTTTTCAAAGTTGATCAAAACCGTCACTCCCCGAACACCCATCGAGGATATCAGATACATTGCCGTCCGCTATGCAGATAAAGGAAAAGAAAGTACAAAACGCGCTGTGGGGTAAGTGTAAATAAGGGGGACGAAAAGCTCGCTCAGAAACACAAGGAAACTGTTTGGCGTATCAAGGCATTACATGTAAACATGAAAAAGGTGGGATATTGGAGAAACAATGTCATCACAACGCCCAGAGCAGGACGCTCGCAACGGCAATGCACAGCGAGGCGGCACCGACCCTAGGGACGGAAAGAAGGCCGGCGGCTTGGACATCGCCCGAGGCGGCAGGCTGGGTAAAGGTATTGCTGCCGGTGGGGTTGACCTGCGTGCCGTCGGTGGGGTTCGCCTGGCCGTCGTTGGTGCCGCCGCCGTTATTGTTGTTATTGTTGTTGTTGTTGTTACCGCCGCCGCTGCCGACGGGACCGGGGTTGGTGACGTTGAAGAAGTTTCCGGCGACGACGCGGCTGGCGAGGCCGGCCTGGGTGAGGATGCTCTGGGCGTTGAAGCCGACCCTAGTCTGGGCAGCGGTGGAGAGGGCGTTGAGGCCCTGCTGGGTGATGGTGGTGTGGTCGACGATGATGAAGGTGTAGCGGTGGCTGAGGGGCTCGCGGGCCGGGGGTTGGGCCCAATGTACTCGGCGAGGGGCGCGGTGGCCTGGCGGTTCTGCAGGAGGAAGACTTGGCCGGTGGTGGCGGTGCCGCCGGTGGTGTTGAAGCTGGTGGCCTGGGCGGAGGAGGTGAGGCCGGTCTGCAGCCAGTGGAGCAGGGTGTTGGTCTGGCCGGGGGTGTCGGTGGGGATGTCGAGGTCGATCATGAGCACGGCGTAGGTGCCTTGGAGGCGCTGCGTGGTGGCGAGCGTGGGCTGGACTTGGGTGGCTGTTTTTGGGGGGGAATCACGTTGTTAGCGTTACCATTACTGGTGGAGTTTTTATTTTGAGAGAGAGAGAGAGAGAGAGAGAGAGAGAAGTAAGGGTCCTAACTTACAATCGCGGAGGACGACGGCGCCGTTGAGAGCGGCTTGGTTGCCATACTGGACGAAAAGCTGGTTCTGGCTGCCGGGCTGGAAACCTTGCGGTGTAAGTGCCGCGACCAGCGAGGCGGCCGTGAGGACGGAGATGATTTGGAAACGCATGGTGGGAGAAGAGCTATGAGCTGTCGCCTCGTTTCTTTTTTTTCGTTTGACTTGTAAGTCGCGCAGTGAATGGGTTTTGTTCTAACTTTGGAAGATGTAAAGCTCAGATGTGACTATCAAAGAAGAAGAAGAAGAAGAAAAGAGTCGCAGAATCGGACGAAAGACGATGTACGAGAAGGGAAAAAGGATAAAGACAGACGTTGGAGGACGGGGGGCTTGGCCTTTGCGATCCGGGGACGACGATCTCATTAAGAACTTTTTTTCTTAAGCCTCACGATTCTGTTCTTTTTCTTTTTCGCTTTGCCTCTCAGTCTTTTTCTTTTTGCGCCTTATGCACCTGCCGCCTCCCCTTGATGTTCATCATCCCCCACGTTGAAAGCGTCTGTTTTCCGGGACCGCAACAGCACCCCCTTTCTCCTGGCCCCCTCCGTCACCCCCAAGGCCGCGTTTCCCGTCTTGGCCAAGGCTCACAAACACGCAATCACGATAAAGTAAAACCAAATTGATGTTGGGAGGGGCTTGGCCCAAGGCTCGTCGGAAAGAAAAAAATTGGTGGCCCCCAAGGAACGGTAGAAAAAAAGAAAAAAGAAAAAAAAAGGTCAAATTAGAGGGTAGCGTGGGGAGGGGGCACGGAGGAGGGGCGCCGGGTCACGCAAAGATGATTTTCGGGACGGCAAAGGCCAAAAGATGAAACGGAAACCAATGGCAAAGATCCGCGACACCCATGAAGCAGGGACAGCGTCGCGACTGTGAGACGGTTTTTGTTGCGCCCAGCTCCATTTTGCCGGACGCGGGCGGGCAGCCCAACGACCAACTCTCTCGTCTCCGTCTTTTTTCTTTTTTTTTTTTTTCTTTCTTGTTTTCTGATGCTCTCCCTCTCGAATCTCCAATCGATCCGCCCCTTCGCCCCAACGTCTTTTATTCGAAGAAAAAAATTACCAAAGAGGGACAGGATATAAGGTCTCGAGGACTCCGCGCCTGCTCGGCTCGACGAAAATCGACGCAGGGATACCGAATCGTTTTGCGCTTTGCTCGCTTACGGGCCTCTTCTTCTTCTTCTCTTGGACGGGTCATGCGCTCCTCGCGGACACCAACCATCGTGACAATTGATGCTCGGATGATGCGCAACACGCTATGCCGGCCGGGTCTTTTGGTGATCTGTGAGTCCCATGTTTGGATTCGCCTCGGTTTTTCCTACTGCTCTCAATTACTCTCCTTCTTTTTTCTCTTTACCCTAAACGTTTGCCTATCTTCTCCCTTGTCTGGCTTATACTCTCTCCGCTTCGAGGCGTGAATGAATTGACATAGGTTGCGAGTTCCGGTTCCGACGTCGGTCAGTGGGCCCTCGGTCCGTCCGCTTTCTGCTTTCCCCGGTTTTTCATCTTTTCTCTTCTTCTGTCCATGCTACCCTTGATTTCCCCTGCTTGTACCTATTCGGGCGCGAGCGCGACTCGTCTCTTTCGGAAGGGTTCCTTTTCGGGCCTCTCGTTTCATCGTGAGGGAACTGTCAAGTTGGGAAAGGTCATGTTGGTGGTAAAACAATGCTTTCCTCTCGGAACGTCGGTAGTTCAAGCAGTTCATCTCATATTTCTATGCACCCTTACCCTTTTTCGCGCGGGGTCTTCTTTTCTTTTTCTCTTTTCTTTTTACGCCCGGGCGCCCCCTTTCTCCTCGCTTCTCCTTTCGGAACTCGTTTTGTTTCCCTGTTTCGGAGAATTTATCGTGTCGTAACAACATAAAGAGTATTGCTTCCAGCCCTCACCAAATCCCGTCGTGGTCATGGAAGAGGGCGGGACCACTCCCGCATTAGCACCGTGTCCTGCGTTGGTATCCGTGTCCGGCCCCGCTGTCCCCCTTCCCCCTCCCCCGGCAGGGACCCTTTCATGCTAGCAAAAAGCTACCCGTATTGTTTCTTTTTCTTTCTTTTTCCTTGTATCCCTTCTTTTTTCTTTCTCAACGGCTCTCTTTTGTTTCGTTGGCTTCGGTTTGCGTCATGTTCGGAGCCCAACGAGTCAGGGCTCATCCTAGGTGCGGGGAAGGAAGTCGAGAAATGACTAGTGATTAGCAGAGCCTGCAGTTCAGAGCGCCAGGCGCACACGTTTCCAAGATAGATGCCGCTTCCCCCTCGGAAGCTTCCAACTTTCCATCCCCCCCACCACCCCTTACCTTCTCCTACCTTGCCTTGCAGGTCAAATCCTTGCTCGCGTCGTCGACTTGTCTCTGCTGAAACGTCGTTCGGGGTTCGATTTCGATGACGACGTTCGCGAGAGGGAAAAGCAAAACGAGATAGAAGCGCGAAGAAGCGAAAAGAAAATAGCAACCTTGTAAACAAAGGAGTAAACGAAACAGTAACAAGAGAACAAAGGGGAGTAGAAACCAGGTAAATAGAGTAGCAAGGCAAGACGCAAGAAGCCCTCTCACCACCTCCCACCTCTCACCACCTCCCACCTCTCACCACCTCCCACCTCCCACCTTATACACTATACCCGTAGACTCCCACACACACACACACATCACACCCCATCACGGCGGCGTCGGCCACCGCCTCGCCAGGTGCCCGAGCAGCGGCTTACAGCCGGGGAGGCAAACAAAAAAGAGGAATAGTGTGAAAGAGGGATAAAAGCTGGCAAGCTGCAGTTCCTTGGAATTGGGCGAAAGCCCCCAAGATAAAGCCCAGTCGAAGGGAGGGGGGGGAGGGGGACAGGGGGATTCTATAGAAACATGGGAAAGTGAGAAAAAATGCCCATTTCTCCTTGCTCCAAAGGAGGAGGAAGACTCCCTTTGAGGCAAAAAAGATGCAGATGATGTGCCGGCGCCATCGGAAATCTCGCCCTGTCATCGGGATCTCGACGCGCGCGATCTCGATATGTCATCCAACAGACCCCATCTCCTCGCAACTGAGGCCATGTTCCATTTCCCCCTCCCTCTCCCTCACATTCACACTCCCCTCCCTCATGAGAAAGTATCGAAAAACAAGGAAGATGTCTAGATGCCGGCCACCACGCGAAGACCCGAGATCGGGGGCACGATCTCGCTGGGTCCAAGCATGGATGCGCGCAAATCCCCCCTCTTCCCTCCCCCATCTCGAGCCACGAGGGAAACCCGCCAGGGGAAAACTAATATTTGGGCCCTTGCGTTTTTGACACACTCCATTATTTTGGCGTCCCGCCGTCCCAAGGCAAGGGCGGGGCGGGGCTCGCCCGGCCATTTTCCCTTTGCTCTTCCTGCCTGTTTGCTTGACCAAGGGCACCGACTCCCGAACAGAGTCAAATGCGACTCAAATGCTCCTTCTTCCCCACCACTGCATCTAGAGACGGAGATTATCTACGATAATAGTTCAATCTCCCCAAGTGGTGGACCTCCCAAAACTACGTAATATCCAATTAGGACACTATCTCCTTATATCATTATTGAAGCAAGCGCGAAACATCGTGAGTGGGCCGGGAGGCGGTTTTGGCCTAGAGCTGGCTGTGGTCGTTTAAACTGGCGTTCAGGGTCCACGAAACGGCCGCGGGGTGTGCCTGGGGTGGGAGAGACGGAAACGGCGCCGCCCTAATAGCAGGCTCTTGTTTCTTCATCTTCTTTGCTCCATTCTTCGTTTCCCTTCCCCGAGGTCATGTTCGCGCTAGTTTGATGTGACTAGCCCCTCCCCTCCCCTTCCGTCAACCTGCGTTTGCCCTTTTCATTTCTACATGTAATGTAATGTAGGGTTGGGGTTCGGGTTGCGGTTGCGGTTGCGGGTTAAACGTTGGTGGGGTGGGAAGGGAAGGGAAACCAACACTGGCACATGTGCTTCGGTTCGTTCGGATGACGGAGCTTGCCTTTCGATCGCGGGAAACTTGGGTCCAACTCACGATCGAGCATGCAACGCCGTGGTCTAGACCCTCGTCCATCCATGCCGGTTACGGCATTCTTTCTTTGGGGGAAGGGCAGTTTCCTTCCCGTGGTTAGTTTGGGGGTGCAAGATATCGAAATTGTTTTTCTTTCTTTTCGAGCTAGGGTGTGAGAGCAATAAGACTATTATCTCTCAACATCTCTTGGTCCTCGCGAGGATTCTGGGAGTATTCGCGATCGGATGCATTTACCTGCAGTCTAGTAGGGCCCTTGCGCCCATGTTCCCTTGCTCTCCCCCACTCACACCTACACTCACACTTAATCATGTCTTGCCTGTCGACATGACAGAGTGCTCCGTCATCAAGCCCCATGAACAAGAAATTTCCAATGGGAAGCCACACGATAATTATTAGTCCGGCTGGTTCCGCATTAGGGAAGATGAGAAATCGCTTCTAGGTTCTTCTTCGAGGAGACCCCAGACGCTGGGCCTAATACGCCTGGGGCTGGTCTGAAGCGAGCTGAAAGGGGATTCTAGATATTAGCACCAACCAGAGCTACAGAGCCCAGGGGTGGGATCCATTGATCCATTAGATCAATTGATCACTGATGCTTGAACGCCAGTCGGTCTCGTGCAGCGCAGTCGCCTGACTGCATGGCGCGTGCCATCGCCTTCTCACCAAGGTATCTTTCCTCCGTTGCCAGTGTGGCGGTTACTTCACGGGTTCCTTCGCGGGTTACGTCGCGGCCACATTTCCCCACCGCCTTCCCTGCCTGCTGGTCCCTGCACCGAACAACCGAAGATCTTCCGGCATCATCCACCCCGGCTCCTCGCCAATGACGAGGGATGGCCATTACGTCACTGGCCAAAACCGGGATCCCAAAATCTTCATTAATAACACCCCAACAACAACGACTCATCAAATCGCTGCGGAACAAGCTGCGGATGGGCCCATTCCACCGCGCCCATGGACGGCGCTTCCGGTCACATTCACGGGCTCGTGGGCCACTATGACATCGCACATCTCGTACCCCTTCACCTTCTTTTCGTTTCCCTTGATTGAGCATGCTTTGATTCCCCATCTCCAAGCTTCTGTCTCGGGGTTTCAGGACCATGTCCATCGTGACCTTTTCTTTTTTTTTTTTCCTCTTGTTTTTTTCCAGTTCGA